TTAGGGCTGAGAGCTGATTGGCTAAGTCTGGGTGAGGACGGTCAGCCAAGTGTGTGTGGTGTGGGTGGGTTTTACAGCCTTAATTAAAACATGAAGCTGCTACTTCAGGGATTTTACTTCTTGTGGGTTATTTTGTAGAACACATCACCCCTGCAATGAAACGAAGCCCATTGTATAAATTATTTTAAACTTGAAATACATTTAAGTTGCTGAAACCACCTGAAAGTACGGCGACTGACTTTGGCAAACCGACCAGTTCAACAAGCCGTAAAAGTAAGTAAGGAAGTAATGTTATTTATGTAGCGCATTTTACAGATCAAAGTCACCCAGAGTGCTTTGCAATGTTCATAAATCAGATATTTTTTCCATTTTCCCCAGACACGGTGATGACGGAAGCGAGACGCCGAACACCCTGGTCCATCACAGTCCCGACCAACACCCTCCATTCAATCGTTCGTTACTGTATTCTACCGCTGTCAGACTGTTCAATGAGTCACTTTAAGTTACTAATGCACTAGGACTGTCTTTTGCACATTTTGAGTGATTCTATCTGTGCATCTAGGGGAAACCGGAGCACCCGGAAGAAACTGAAGCAGACACAGGTATAACATGCAAACTCTATTCAGAGAGGCCCTGTTCCGACCGGGATTTGAACCGTCAAAAATCAAAGTTTTCTTCTGATTTTTCAAAAGAGCAGTATGTGAAAATCTGTCAAAAAGTGGTACTGCAGCCTCTCCCACTCTCCCTGACTCAGGTTGCCAGATATGCAGACGAATCCAGCTGGGACCATAACAGCTGAATAGACTGAAGAGTTTTGTCAACAACAAATCTTTTTCACAAAGTTAGAAGTCCTGGTTTTATTCCTTGTTTTGTCGTGAATGATTTGAGAATCATAACGAGGCCTTTTTAGTTCTGTGCCACATGGTACTTTACCGCAGTAAGATTAGCTCCACGCGGTGAGTTCTGGCGCTTTGATCACAGACTTTCTGATTGGTGAAAGAGTGGAGGGCGGGACATCGAAATTAAAACAAAAACAAGATTTAGGGGCTGGAAAATTATTTTAGAAATTCAAATATCTCTGAACTACTGTTATCAGTTAAAGAATAATTGGAAAAGAGCAGTTTATCGATGCCTTTTGACAGATCAGCGACATTTAAGTATGAATTGACATGAAAATCTTATTGCTACTCTAAATAAAGGTGTCGAAGTCTTGTCAAACGTTTTCAATGGGAGATTTTACTCTTCGTCACTTCTCCCAGCTGTTATACAATGCCTGAGGAAGAGTCGAGTTTCCCCCGTGTGTCCCGGGCCCCCATTATCACTCTTGAAGCTGCAGTGGTTTTGATCTGGCGCTGGGAGAGAGAAGGTGCAGGGAGCTCGTTCAGACTCAGACGCAGATACGATGAGATAGCGGAGCCGTGTTTCCTAAAAGGTAATTGTTCGGAAAGTGGGCTCCTCTTATCCCGTTAATCCTGTTAGATCTGTGCACGGATAGCAGCGCTGCTAATCTGCTCCAAGGTGCGCCGAACGGATAACATCTGACAGAGTTCCGGAACGCTCGGCTCTCCAAAAGTGCTTCTATGAAATCACAGACGGCGGTTATGAATTATGAGGAGATTAGTGCCACGGCAGCAGCATCGCATTCATTCACAGAGAGACGGAAAATATAATGCAAATCAAAACAATGATGTGTTTTAACAGGCTTTTTATCCAGGCACTTTATTATTATGTAACTCCACACCACATACTCTAGGTGTAGATCTGCTGCAGCTGTCAAAAGTCGTGCAGAAAATACGGCGGAAGAGGAAGGAGCAAGACTGAGGCTACGGGAAGACCAGAGAGACGAGAGAGAGACTGGAAAGAGAGACCAGAATGAGAGACCGGAGAAAGAACAGAGAGAGACTGGAAAGAGAGACCAGAATAAGGGCCCAGGGATAGGCCTGAGGTAGGGACCAGGGATAGACAAGAGAGAGACCAGAAAGAGACACCAGAGAGAGAGACCATAATGAGGGACCAAAGAAAGACCAGAAAGAGACCAGAGAGAGACCGAAGCTAGATTGCGGAGATAGACCAGAGAGAGAGAGAGAGAGAGACCAGAGACAGGAACCAGGATAAATCAGAGAGAGATCAGAAAGAGGGACCAGGAATAGACCAGATAGAGACCAGAGAGAAGGACAAGGGATGGACCAGAGAGAGAGACCAGTGAGAAACCAGGGATAGACCAAAGAGATTGAGACCAGAGAGAATAACCAGGGATAGACCAGAGAGAGAGAGACCAGAGAGAGAAACCAGAATGAGGGACCAGAGAAAGAACAGAGAGAGACCAGAAAGAGACCAGAGAGAAGGACAAGGGATGGACCAGAGAGAGAGACCAGTGAGAAACCAGGGATAGACCAGAGAGCAAGCTGAGAGAGAGCAAGAGTCTCCACTGTGCAGACAAGCCACTAAAGATGTCTTCTGATTTAAAATTAAGGTAACTGTCATGTGTGTACAAATGTGTGTGTCTATGTGTGTGTCTGTGCATGTGTGTGTCTGTGAGTGTGTGTGTCCTCCCCCTGCTCTTATTCTCTCCCTGATGAAGGCCTTGCAGCTGACCCCAGGCCTGAACCTTTCTGCCTTTTCTTTAAGTCATAGAAAGTATTGCCCGTTCCTGAGTCGCCGCCGTACAGTATCGGCGACTGGGACAGCGGTGACTTTGGCCCCGCGCCCTGTCCCAGTCTCTGCACAGTCCGGAGCCAAAACCGTTTTTTTTTTTTCTTCACCATTACTCTTGGTCCGATTCCACTGACATTTTTGCCATGTTTTTTTTCACACGACTGGAGCGGGCAAATGAGCGCCTAAACGCCACATTCAAACCACGGACAGGACTAATGGGAATGATGGAGTCCCTGGCAGATGTGGAAAGGTCACGGAGCTGTAGAGCGGCCAGAAGTGAGCCGCGGTGACACCAATCAGACCGACTCATCTCATCTCTCTAACTACCCCGCCCCCTACCCGCGTTATCGGCCTGTTTAAGAAGCAAACACCTCCGTTGCCAGATAAGAGGGGAAGATTCAAGCACGGGGATTGTCAGCGGAACGGGAGGCTGATATATCTCCTGGAAGTAAAAGAAGAAAAAAAAACCTGGGGATCTCCAGCGAGGCGGCGCGGCGGCTGATAAGAGCGAGCAAAAACAATTGCACCGGAGACGTAGAGGACCTACCTAATGCGTCGGTTAGACACGCACCTCCAGAGCGGCGAGAGACGGTTCAGCGGCGCTCTCTTCTCTCTCGCTCCAGATGTTTGCTTTGTGCGGCGCAGAGGTTATTATCCCTGCTTTGACAAGATCGTCTGCAGTGTGAGAGTATTTGAGACGGTGAGCGCGCTAACAGGCGCTAATGGCCCCGGACACTTGTCAAAACGCCTTTCGCTCACATGACGGGCCCCGGCTTTGACCCACTGGACTCAGCCACTTATTTAGTTTAGTGCAGGCTCAGCCAAACTGCGGCACGCTGGCTAACAGAGCCCCTCTGTGGCCCGTTCTGTGGCCCTCAGCTGCAAACGCAAAGATCATAAGCAGATTAAGCACTTTGTCGTCCAGCCAACTTCAGCTCCTACAATCTATAATGAGGAGCATACACACACACAAACAAAGACACACAAGTACACACACACACAAGCACACTCACACACACACACAAACAAAGACACACAAGCATATACACACACGCACAAACAAAGACACACAAGCACACACACACACAAGCACACACACACACAAGCACACTCACACACACACACAAACAAAGACACACAAGCACACTCACACACACACACAAACAAAGAAACACAAGCATATACACACACGCACAAACAAAGACACACAACCACACACACACGCACACACAAAGACACGCAAGCACACACAAGTATACACTCACTCACACACATACAAATAAAGACACACAAGCATGCACACACACGCACACACAAAGACATACAAGCACACCTACACACACACGCACACTCACACACACACACACACACAAGTATACACACACTTACACACATACAAATAAAGACACACAAGCATGCACACACACGCACACACACACACACTCACACACACACACGCAAGTATACACACACTCACACAGACACAAGTATACACTTACACACATACAAATAAAGACACACAAGCATGCACACACACGCACACACACACACACTCACACACACGCAAGTATACACACACTCACACAGACACAAGCATACACGCACACGCACACACAAAGACATACAAGCACACATACACACTAACAATAATATTGAATACATTTTTAATTTTATAGCGCAGCGCAGTCAGCATAATAAACAATGAAAACAGTCATAATAATTATAAAAGTCAAAATAATTTTATAGAATAGTAAAGAAAGATGAACAGAGGAAACAGAAGAAGAAAGACGAAACAAAGAGAAAGCAACAAAAGTGGTTTTAAAAAGTGATTTAAAAGAGCACACTGATGGAGCTAGCCGGGCAGGTGGTTCCAAAGCCGAGGAGCACGGACAGAGAAGGCTCGGTCACCCTTCTTCGGGAGCCTCGATCTACACATTTTCGGCCCCTGGACTCTTTTGGCGACAGTGGCCCTGGACTCCCCGGCTCTAAACAGAAGTTCTATCACCAGCGCTGAAGTGTATGTACTGTTGGCCTCGGTCACGTCGGTTCTCCAGATTTGACAACGTTCTTTGATGCATCTTAAACACGACTGATGACAACTTCAAACTGACTCGGTTTGACTCAGTTTGACTCAGACAGGCTTCCATCCATGAATCAAGACAAATATTTTTGTACTCATTTAAAGAAACACAAAGCTGATAGATAATGCAGGTCTCTCAGGGTCTGGGTGCAGGTCTCTCAGGATCTGGGTGCAGGTCTCTCAGGGTCTGGGTGCAGGTCTCTCAGGGTCTGGGTGCAGGTCTCTCAGGGTCTGGGTGCAGGTCTCTCAGGGTCTGGGTGCAGGTCTCTCCTCCTGAAGACCTCAACAGGAGGTGGAGGTGCCAGAGCCAGGTACTCCGCACACTTCTCCTGGAGGTGGCAGCTTTGACAGAGCTGCTGTGAGTGAGAGATCAACACCTCTGGAATGGACGTGTCACATTTGCACAGTTTACTGCTAACAGGCTGTAATTACTGTAGTGCTAACACAGTCCTAGGCTGTGTGAGGTCAGAGGTCAGAGTTCACTGCTAACAGGCTGTAATTACTGTAGTGCTAACACAGTCCTAGGCTGTGTGAGGTCAGAGGTCAGAGGTCTGCATCAGGTAATAGACCTGTTTAACAGAGCACAAACAGCCTCTTCCCCTCTGAGCCCCTCTCCTGCTGCAGCGTCCTGTCACACTTCAGCTCACTCTATTTTCCATATTTTATAAATAGCTGGAGAAAAGTATTAATTATCCTGGTACAGTTTAATGCACCGAGTGCTTTAACCTTTCAGGTTTCTGTTAACCACCGACATAACAAGGCATCTCCGCCGCGGCTAACGTGATTTATGACAGGAATATCCAACTCTTGTTTTTAAATAGCTCGGGTGGCAATCTGCATACATTTAAATACGCTGCAAACACCCCCCTCACCCCCCATTCTCCCCCATGCCCTCCCCTGGCCCCCCCTCGTGTCTCGGGGCCTTGTTAAATATTCAGGGATGATTTTTTTGTCCACATACATTTTGGTGTGTGTCACCTTAGATTAAATTATTAGCGTTTCGCAGGCTGCGCGGCGCGGGCCCCGGGCCCCGAGCTTTATTTACAAGAATCAATGAAACAGTAATGAAAATCCATTTTTCATACTATCAGCCCCCGCTGTCTTTTATTTAGTTAGCTGTGTCTAAGCAAGCAATTCATTTTGTGTAAATGCCACCCTGAGAAAGAGCATTAGAGCAGAGAGGGTTAACCCCTGAACAGACCAGGAGAGAGAGGGGCCCCCAGCTCCAGGAGAGAGGAGAGAGGGGACCCCAGCTCCAGGAGAGAGGAGAGCTCCACATGAGGCCTCTCTCCCTGTGGCTCAGACTGTAGGACAACCCTCAGACAAGGGCCCCTGGGGGCCTCTCTGCAGGCAGAGCTCCAGAGGGTGCCATGTTACTCATGTACGATGTATATGTAAGATCAATGGCCGCAGACCCATCGACATGGACGAGAAGACGAGGATCCCGCTTCCTTTGGACCTAAGGCTCCTCTGTGTTTGTGTCTCTGATTCTCTGATCTACTGTCCGTGAATCCACAACTTTGGGACGTCCTCTGAGACACAAATACATTGAATTGAATTGCGACCTTATCAGAGATGTAGAAAACTAATGTCTCACCTGCACAGGTCCGGGTTCACCTGAGCGCCCCCTAGTGCAGAGTCAATGCACGACGCGCTCTCATTCCACCCGCCAGCGGAGATCAAGGACCCTGCCATCAGCAATTCATCCGTCCTCCAGCGCCGTGGCACATTAGACGACTTCATAAGCAAATGAGGCCGCACCCCCTGCCCCCAGCCCCCAGCCCCCTCCTTGCCGCCGCACCAAATAAAATTTAATAACTGAATAAAAATGTAAATAAAGATTTGCTCAAAATGAGTTGTCCGTGAAATAATTCTGCCGTGTTCCCTCCGCCCCCCGTCCTTTGAGCGAGCACCGTGATGTGTGTACGCAGGGTAAGGGGGGGGGGGGGTGGTGTGGCGTGTGACCTTTTGGAAGGCGCGCGCCGAGGGTTGATTAAAGACGTATTAAATTTGTTTAAATAAACCTCCTTGTAATGGCACATCATTTGTAAGAAGCTATTAGCCCAACGCCGGGGAAAGAGATTGCACTGCCATTATTTGCATGAAAATGTGTCGGCGGCTCAGATTGAGGGTCTCTCGTGAATGAAAGCCGACACCGGGGGTTGACGCGGGGATGTCGGGGGCCCCCCTCCCGTCCGGGGCCGAATCCCAGAGTCAGACTGATGAAGTCCCCAGCAGCGGAGAGGAGGAGCGGGTGCCAGATAAAACCACGCCCTGCACTGCTTTAGCTCTTCCCGTCAGTCACACCTTAAAAACTCTGATTAGGACACAATGTCAGAACAGGGACGAGGGTTTTTATTCCGCAGGAGAGAGACCCTACGGCGTGTGCTGGAGACGTCGGAATCTATGGATTATATATATATTTTTTTAATAATAATATAATTTCATCGGTTTTAAATGTGGAAGCTGAAAGCTGCTTCACGTGTCATTATTCTTTCACTTCATATGCAGAAGTGAAACTGTTATTGTAGCCACAGCTGTCCTGGGGCATACTGACAGAAGCAAGACCTTCCCCACCACTACACTCAAGCTAATGGGTCTTTGGTTAAGTGTCTTAACCAAAGACCCCTCAGCCGTCCCACTGTGGCACCTGGTGTTCCCAGAGGTCTCCCATCACAGTACTAACCAGGCCCTGCCCTGCTTAGCTTCAGAGGTCTGACAGGATCTGGCTTTCACCTGCAGGTCTGTGTTCAAATTCAGAGTTCAGCGAATACTTTGATAGCTCCATAACACACCTGTTTTTTCGTACAACGCAACTACACCATCGCACAAAAATAACTGTCTCAATCTCTGGGTGTGTGTGTGTGTGTGGTTGTGTGCCTCTCTCTCTCTCTCTCTCTCTCTCTCTCTTTGTGTGTGTCTGTGTGTATCTGTCTCTGTTTCTGTATTTGTGTTTGATTGTTTGATTGTGTGTATCTGCCTGTGTGTGTGTGTGTGTGTGTGTGTGTGTGTGTGTGTGTGTGTGTGTGTGTGTGTGTGTGTGTGTGTGTGTGTGTGTGTGTGTGTCTGTGTGTGGGTGAGTGTGTGATTGTGTGTATCTGTCTCTGTCTGTGTGTGTGTGTGTATGATTGTGGCCCAGGAGGCTCCGGTCCACAGCAGCAGACGTGGGGAGCTGTCCGGCCGGAGCGGTGCTGACGTGAGGCGGCGGAGCGTTCACAGAAGCCTCCGCCGCTGACAGCCGACGTCCGCCAAAGTTCACATAATTAAAAGCAAAAGACTTTTTTTTTTTTTAAGGCAAGAACGGCTCAACAATCAACTCCAGAAACACAAAGCGGCGGAAAAACTGAGCCCCGTGTGCGAAGGCGAGAGCGAGAGGTCTGTGGTTAAAGAAGTCTGACATAATCGGAGCTTTTGGAACGTGTTTGGAAACCCGTCGTTTTGGGAGTTGTCTGTTTTTGGCAGAAACACAAGAAAAGTTGGATCGGACTGAGCTTTGAGACGATCCCAAATGTGACAGATCATATGTTTGTATACTGCACATGTCTGTTTCTGTCAAGCTACACGTACAGGGAATCAGTAAGTAAGTGATGTTTTCTAGTGGTAGGGGAAACCGGAGCACCTGGAGGAAACCTGGAGCAGATGCGGGGAGAATTTGCAAACTCCACACAGAAAGGTCTGGAGATGGAATCGAACCCAGGCTGTGAAATAAGTTCTAACCGTTGCACTACTGTACCGCCCAGGGCACACAGGTACAGGCACAAGTCGTGAAGGCACAGGTACAGGTCGTAAAGTCACAGGTACAGGTTGTGAAGGCACAGGTACAGGTTGTAAAAGCACAGGTACAGGTTGTGAAAGCACAGGTACAGGTACAGATCGTGAAGGCACAGGTACAGGTCGTAAAGTCACAGGTACAGGTCGTAAAGTCACAGGTACAGGTTGTGAAGGCACAGGTACAGGTCGTGAAAGCACAAGTCAGGAAGGCACAGGTACAGGTCGTGAAAGCACAGGTACAGGTCAGGAAGGCACAGGTACAGGTCGTGAAAGCACAGGTACAGGTCGTGAAAGCACAGGTACAGGTACAGGTCTGGAAGGCACAGGTGCAGATCGTGAAAGCACAAGTACAGGTACAGGTCGTGAAGGCACAGGTACTCGTCGTGGAAGCACAGGTACAGGTTGTGAAGGCACAGGTCGTGAAAGCACAGGTACAGGTTGTGAAGGCACAGGTCGTGAAAGCACAGGTACAGGTTGTGAAGGCACAGGTACAGGTCGTGAAAGCACAGGTACAGGTCATGGAGGCCAAGGTACGGGTTGTGAAAGCACAGGTACAGGTCGTAAAGGTACAGGTGCAGATCGTGAAAGCACAGGTACAGGTTGTGAAGTGGTAAAGCAGAAAATGCAAACTTTAACTTCAAAGGAATGGCGCCCAGAGCTCAGGGGGATGTAGAACACAAAGTGACAATAATATATCTATAACAGTAAACCTTTAGCTCTTCTGAGTGTGACATGTTTGATTCTCTGATCTGCTGTCGGAGAATCGACAACTCTGTAAAGTCCTTCGTGATAACTACACTGTGTGATTAAGGGCTATGCAACTATACACTGAATTGAATTGAATGTAAGCTCAATATGTAAACTTTAAACCAGGGAGAGACTAGAGAGAGAGACACCAGGGAGAGACCAGAGGGAGAGACACCAGAGAGAGAGAGACCAGGGAGAGACCAGAGGGAGAGAGAGACCAGGGAGAGACCAGAGGGAGAGAGAGACCAGAGAGAGAGAGACCAGATAGAGAGAGACCGGGGAGAGACCAGAGAAAGAGAGACCAGAGAGAGAGACCAGGGAGAGACCAGATAGAGAGAGACCAGGGAGAGAGACCAGGGAGAGAGAGACCAGGGAGACCAGAGGGAGAGAGAGACCAGAGAGAGAGAGACCAGATAGAGAGAGACCGGGGAGAGACCAGAGAGAGAGAGACCAGATAGAGAGAGACCAGGGAGAGACCAGAGAGAGAGAGACCAGGGAGAGAGACCAGGGAGAGAGAGACCAGAGAGAGACCAGAGGGAGAGAGAGACCAGGGAGAGACCAGAGGGAGAGAGAGACCAGAGAGAGAGAGACCAGATAGAGAGAGACCGGGGAGAGACCAGAGAGAGAGAGACCGGGGAGAGACCAGAGAGAGAGAGGGGAGAGGGACCAGGGAGAGACCAGATAGAGAGAGAGCAGGAAGCGAGACCATAGAGAGAGAGACCAAAGAAAGAGACCAGAGGGAGAGACACCAGAGAGAGAGAGACCAGGGAGAGACCAGAGGGAGAGAGAGACCAGGGAGAGACCAGAGGGAGAGAGAGACCAGAGAGAGAGAGACCAGATAGAGAGAGACCGGGAGAGACCAGAGAAAGAGAGACCAGAGAGAGAGACCAGGGAGAGACCAGATAGAGAGAGACCAGGGAGAGAGACCAGGGAGAGAGAGACCAGGGAGAGACCAGAGGGAGAGAGAGACCAGAGAGAGAGAGACCAGATAGAGAGAGACCGGGGAGAGACCAGAGAGAGAGAGACCAGATAGAGAGAGACCAGGGAGAGACCAGAGAGAGAGAGACCAGGGAGAGAGACCAGGGAGAGAGAGACCAGAGAGAGACCAGAGGGAGAGAGAGACCAGGGAGAGACCAGAGGGAGAGAGAGACCAGAGAGAGAGAGACCAGATAGAGAGAGACCGGGGAGAGACCAGAGAGAGAGACCAGGGAGAGACCAGAGAAAGAGAGACCAGAGAGAGAGAGACCAGAGAGAGACCAGAGAGAGAGAGACCAGAGAGAGACCAGAGAGAGACCAGAGGGAGAGAGAGACCAGAGAGAGAGAGACCAGATAGAGAGAGACCGGGATGAGACCAGAGAGAGAGAGACTGGGGAGAGACCAGAGCGAGAGAGACCAGAGAGAGACCAGATAGAGAGAGACCAGGGAGAGACCAGATAGAGAGAGACCGGGGAGAGACCAGAGAGAGAGAGACCGGGGAGAGACCAGAGAAAGAGAGACCAGAGAGAGAGAGACCAGGGAGAGACCAGAGAGAAAGAGACCAGGGAGAGACCAGAGAGAAGAGACCAGGGAGAGACCAGGGAGAGAGAGACCAGGGAGAGACCAGGGAGAGAGAGACCAGGGAGAGACCAGAGAGAGAGAGACCAGGGAGAGACCAGAGAGAAAGAGACCAGGGAGAGAGAGACCAGGGAGAGACCAGAGAGAAAGAGACCAGGGAGAGACCAGAGCAAGAACAGAGAGACCAGCGTGTGACCAGATGTCCACTAAGAAAGTCTGAACGATGCAGTTTTGAACCTACAACCCTCTGCTTATTGAGCAAACACTCAACACTAGATCTCCAAAGGTTTCCCGACTCAATAACATCATGCATCATTCTCAAAAGAGCCGAGTCATTTCTAAAAACAAAACCCATCAGACATCACTATACCGTCGTGCCTTGCTCAACGGCACAAGGTTCCCCCCCCCCCCCCCCCCCCCCCCCCCCCCCCCCCCCCCCCCGGCACCCGCAGGTAATGACCCCGATCCGTTCCCCATAAAACTCCTCAAAATCGCACATCAAAACAAAACGCCGAATTAGACGCAGGCGGCGCGATGCGGGCGGGCGGGCGGGCTGGATTGGCTCGGCACGGCGCGCAGCATGGCCTTGAGCTAGCCATTTTTAAAACCGCCGCCGCCGCTAATTTATGCAAAGATCTGAACTAATTCTTTGGCAAGTGTGAAGCCAGAATATTAGCGCCGTGTATTTCCTTGTCGATGATAATGCCGCGCTCTTAATTTGAGATGTGCGGTGTAGTCAGACATGAAATGGGAAATTGCCCCAAACCCTGCATTTGTCAGGCGGGGGGCTAGCTAGCACATCCCCGTACAATCCTCTACCCACAATCCTCTACCCACTCCTTCCATACTCACTGAGGTGCTATATATATATTTATTTGAGAACTTGACATCTTAGAATATATTACATTTTTTTGTGCAGGGCGGATTTAAAAGCGTATTAGCATAGTTGAAATTGTTGTGGGAAGGATGCTAGCAAGTGGCGTTCCCCGCAGGAGGGTGACCCGGCGAGGTCAGAGCCGAGCTGACAGCGAGAACAGGGTGGGGGGGGAGAAAAGAAAGATTTTTTTTTGGCTTCGGTTCAAGCGTTATCGTATGGAAGGAGCAGACAGGACGAGTTGTGGGGTTAGTTTGAGGCGGTTGAAACATGCAAGCTAATTAGCGTTAGCGTTAATGGATTTGGGTTGGAACACGTTGGACAAAAGGTTGGAGGAATAGGACAAAGCGAGAAGGAAATGATTGTGTTGTTAAAAGAATTTGCGAAATTACAACAGAAAGATTTGTCTGTTTGAGAACATTTATGCAGCAAAAGTTTGATGGTTTGAATTTTAAAGAAATATTAATAAATGTTGGGATGACTTTATCATTTCAACTTCTTCAGACAGAAGAGAGAGAAACCAGGAAGAGATCAGAGAGAGACCAGAGCAAGACCATAGAGACCAGTGTGGGACCAGAAAGAGAGACCAGAGAGAGAGAGACTATGTGTGTCCGTGTCCATGCATGCGTGTGTATGTGTACTATGTGTATGCGTGTGCGTGTGTGTGTGGCTGTTTGCATGCCTTGGATGGACGCGTGTGTGTGTGTGTATTCTTGTGTGTATGCATGTGTGTGCATGCCTGTACTGTATATGTGTATACTTGTGTGTGTGTATTCTGTATATGCGTGTATCTATGGCTGTTTGCGTGTCTCGGATGGATTGTGTATAGTGTGTATGTGTGTGTTCTTGTGTGTATGTGTACTGTACATGTGTACAGTATATTTTTTTACTGCATATGCGCATGTTTGCATGCATCTGTGTGTGTTTGTGGCCGTTTGCGTGTCTCGGATGGACTTTTTTGTGTATGGCGTGTGTGTGTGTTCCTTGCGTGTATGCATGTGTGTGTTCTTGTGTGTGTGTGTGTGTGTGTAATGTGTGTACTGTATATGCACATACTGGCATGTCTCTGTGTGTGTTTGTGACTTTGCGTGTATCGGATGGAATCATTTGTATATGGCGTGTGTGTGTGTGCGTGTGTGTGCCTGTGTGTGTGTGCGTGTGCGTGTGTGCATGCCTCCGTCAGACTCATGTGACCAGCAGAACCCAGATCCGGACTTCCCCCCTGTGCCTCTCGCAGCTGGACCTAATGTGTCCAAATATAAACCTGATCAAAACCACATTAGTGCCAAAGTCCTGGATTCTTGTGATTTCAAACGGACCCAAAACGACATTAAGTCCAAAGATTTATGAATTTATTTTGGTGATTGAATTTTAAAGGGCAACTCAGATCTTTGGTCACATTTGAACAACAGATAAAACTTGTCACTGCACATTAGCGTTGATGAAGGGCTCGCAAAACAAAGTCACGCTCTTTAGACGAGAGAGACTTTCTGAAAATGGCTTTGTGTGTGGAAAAGAGCGGCTGCTTCTCTCACGGCGGAAGTGGATTTATGTGTTTGTTTAGAGAGACTAGGGAGAGAGAAGAGAGAGAGAGAGCAGAGAGAGGCGAGGGAGAGCAGAGAGAGAGTAGAGAGAGAGCAGAGAGAGAGTAGAGAGAGAGCAGAGAGAGAGCAGAGGGAGAGTAGAGAGAGAGCAGAGGGAGAGTAGAGAGAGCAGAAAGAGAGCAGAGAGAGTAGAGAGAGAGCAGAGAGAGAGTAGAGAGAGAGTAGAGAGAGAGCAGAGAGAGAGTAGAGAGAGAGCAGAGGGAGAGTAGAGAGAGAGTAGAGAGAGAGTAGAGAGAGGGAGCAGAGAGCAGAGAGAGAGAGTAGATAGAGAGCAAAGAGAGAAAGTAGAGAGAGAATCAGAGAGAGTAGAGAGAGAGCAAAGAGAGAGTAGAGAGAGAGCAGAAAGAGAGTAAATAGAGAGAGAGTAGAGAGAGAGAGAGCAGAGAGAGAGTAGAGAGAAAGCAGAGAGAGAACAGAGAGAGCAGAGAGAGAGTTGAAAGAGAGCAAAGAGAGAAAGTAGAGAGAGACTCCAGAAATAGAGAGTCGAGCGAGAGACTAGGTAGAGGCCAGCAAGAGAGAGCAGAGAGAGAGAGCAGAGAGAGAGAGTAGAGAGAGAGAGCAGAGAGAGAGAGCAGAGAGAGACCAAACCCACACCGAGCTCAGACCTCCAACACCAGAGCTCTCTCTTCACACACTCTTCCTGCTCATCTGGGGGAACACCGAGGCCTTCGCTGATTGGACAAACTGGCTCCTCCCCAAATGGAGAAGCAGCGGCTCTACTCTGAGCTTCCGCCTCATGACCGAGCTCCACACCCTGTCTCTACAGGAGCAGCGGCTCTAGTCCGAGTGACTATATCCGCGACCTCATCCTTTCGGTCATGACCCAAAGCTTGTGACCACTTCATGTTTATTTGATTTCTCTAAATGACTTTTACTGAGTTTGACAAAAGATACAATAATTGAATTTAAATCATTTCTGATCAAAACTATAAATATAATTTAAACTCTGGGAAAGATTTTGGCTCTGCACACTACGAATGTAAGTAGAGTAGAGTAGTGTAGAGTAGAGTAGAGTAGAGTAGAGTAGAGTAGAGTAGAGTAGCACGTCTCCAGGGGCGTCACATGGTTCTTTACACAGAATCAGGACCAGAAAGTGACCAGATAAAGACAAGATAGAGACAGATCAGTGATAGACCAGAGAGAGACCTGAAAGAGAGACCAGAGAGACCAGAGAGAGAGACCAGAGAGAGACCTGAAAGAGAGACCAGAGAGACCAGAGAGAGAGACCAAAGAGAGACCTGAAAGAGAGACCAGAGAGAGACCAGAGAGAGACCTGAAAGAGAGACCAGAGAGAGAGACTAGAGAGAGAGACAAGCAAGAGAGACTAGCAAGAGACCAGAGAGAGACTTGAAAAAGAGACCTGAAAGAGAGACCAGAGAGAGACCAGAGAGAGACCTGACAGAGAGACCTGAAAGAGAGACCAGAGAGAGCGACTAGCAAGAGAGACCAGAGAGAGACCTGAAAGAGAGACCTGAAAGAGAGACCAGAGAGAGACCAGAGAGAGACCTGAAAGAGAGACCTGAAAGAGAGACCAGAGAGAGACCTGAAAGAGAGACCTGAAAGAGAGACCAGAGAGAGACCTGAAAGAGAGACCTGAAAGAGAGACCAGAGAGAGACCAGAGAGAGACCTGACAGAGAGACCAGAGAGAGACCTGAAAGAGAGACCAGAGAGAGAGACTAGCAAGAGAGACCAGAGAGAGACCTGAAAGAGAGACCAGAGAGAGACCTGAAAGAGAGACCTGAAAGAGAGACCAGAGAGAGACCAGAGAGAGAGACTAGCAAGAGACCAGAGAGAGACATGAAAGAGAGACCAGAGAGAGAGACTAAAGAGAGAGACTAGCAAGAGACCAGAGAGACCATAGAGAGACTTGAAAGAGAGACCTGAAAGAGAGACCAGAGAGAGACCAGAGAGAGACCTGAAAGAGAGACCAGAGAGAGACCTAAAAGAGAGAGACTAGGGAGAGACCAGAGAGAGACCAGAGAGAGACCACATTTTCTGTTTGTAGACATAAAAAAGTGTCAGTGTTGCAGAGGTCAGAGGTGGAAGGTCAGGGGTCAGGGCGTTCCGAGCCGCGGAGCACAGGGACCACAGCGAGCACAGCCTCTGCTCCTCGCGGTCACGTGACGCACAGGGACCAGACGTGTTTAGGTGAAATCCAGAAGTCATCGCTCACGGTCCTCAGCTCTGGTCTCACGTTTACATGAAGACGGCTCGCGGAGGAAGCCATGCCTTTGTACTGTATAAACCTGTCGCCCGGACGGGAAGCCGCAGCTGCCCTGAGTTTAGGTGCGAGTAAACACAACCTCCACATCTCTTCTGGCGTGGGGGGCCCTGAGCTGTGGGGGGCCCCTCTTTACCTACAAATGTACAGTGGGTCTTGTCTTAGCCAGAGCTAAACATAGTAAACTAAAGGCATTACACAACCAGCCGTTATTTATGTACCTATATTTACATCTGTGACTCGTGCAATACCATAATGCATTGCGGCACGGAGAGGGGGGGGGGGGGGGGGGGGGGGGGGGGTGGGGTGTGCGGGGGTGGGCAGGATGTACTCCACATCCTTCAGAAAGGCTCTGTTCCGACCGAGAAGTTTGAGACTGCAGCATTCAAACAGAAGGAGTGGGGGGAGGCTTCTGCTGAATGTCACGGCTTGTTTTGAAAAAAGGAAGAACGATAATGAAAATGTAAAGCGACAGTGTATATATAATTATTATTATTATTATTATTATTATTATTTATTTCATCTGGTTACTGTGGTTGCTGTCACATACACACATACAGTAGAGTAAAGTAGAGTAGAGTAACTTTATACTAAACACTATTACTGTAACTCTTGCAGCTACAACACTTTTGAAAAGCTGATAATTCACTGGATCCATACAGTGAGTATTAAAACTACAGTTAATTTCAAATATTCTAATTAATAATAATAATAATAATAATAATAATAATAATAATAATAATAATAATGATGATATTAATAATAATAACAATAACAATAATAATAATAAGGATATTTATAACATAAACTAGGCTTGTTTTTTTAAAGGCCTGGTTTTTTTTCTTTTACTTGAATGTAGTTTGTCAAAAGATTATTTTACTAGTTTTAAGAAAAAATTCTGAGCAGTGATAAAATAAGTTTGCGATGCCATATTTTAAGACAGAAAATCTCAAAAATTGTAATAAATAAATAAATAACACACACAGAATCAAATCATTTGGGGCAAGTATTACTTTCTTATTTTCAGAAATCTTGTTAAGTCGTATTTTCTGTACTGAGCACTTTTTCTTGGTCACACTGAGGACTTTTGCAGATGTATTCCAAGGTGGTTTTACTGCAAAGGGCGAGTTTCACTTTTATTTTCTGGTTGGTGGAACCCGACGGCGAAAGGACGAACCCTCGGCACAAAATCCATGATTGATTTTTCAGCCACGTCACGAGATCGTTGGTGTTACAGGTGTACGCACGTGCATATGCACAGGCACACACACACACACACACACACACAGATAGAGGGGAAAACACATTTTTCTGAAATTCAAAACTTCACAAAACTCTGTCTAAAAAAAAAAAAGAATCACAAATGATCCTAAACAAACTATTATTCCTGAAAAGTTATTTCACACAAATGTGAATATGAATAACACATTTCTCAGAGACGACAAGTGTGTGAGCTGTTGCTACACAAACAGAAGTGTGTGTCTCTACCTCTCTATCTATTATTCATTTATTTATTAATGTTGATTGAGTGGTACACACTGGGGTAGTCTTGCACAGTTTTTCCAATGTGGTTTCACTGCAAATGGCAAATAAATGAATCTGATCTAAGAGGAATAACCCCATCAGCAACAGTCATTTATATACGCAACAAAAATATTACATTAAACAGACACAAATAAAAGGACAAAAGCTCAACACATTCTCTCTCACACACACACACACACACACACACACACACACACACACACACAGAGTAAATACATATACTGATGGGAAATACAACTTTACACAACAACAGAAGAACAGAAGTTACGTTTACCCATGATACGTGTGTGTGTGTGTGTGTGTGTGTGTGTGTGTGTGTGTGTGTGTGCGTGTGTCGGTGTGTGTAGGTATGAGTGTATTATATATATTTTTTCCATATCTTCATTGCTGCTGATGTTACAAAGTCCAGTCTTATGTGTGTGTGTTGGTTTGTGTGCGTGTGTGTGCGTCTGTGTGTGTCAGTGTGTGTGTGTGTGCGTGCGGTGTGTGTGTGTCTGTGTGTGATATGCATTATAATCCTGTGTTCCATATTTACACATAGATGCTGCAGTAATAGTCTTGTCTTGTCTGTGCTCTGTTTGCAGATGGACGGCTTTAACAGCAGAGTGGAGCCCCCTCTACAGGATGCGTGCGGTACTGCAGCCCAAGCCGGAGAGGAAGAAGAAGAGGAGGAAGAGGAGAAAGAGGAGGAGGGAGGTGGGGTGCTGAGCTAAGTGCATCAATAAATCTTGTGAAATCCAGCAAGAGGGAAGGGAGAGAGGGACCGGTCAGTGCGAGAGAACAGCAGTGCTTTGCCTTTGTTCGGGTGTCATTTTCACCTGTGGCTTTGAAAATAAAATATACATTAAATAAATTAAAAAATATTAAATTATGTGTAATATATAAAGAAAACAAGAACTTTTTTTTTTTTAAATTATAAGTATAGTAGAAAGGTGTTTTATTCAAAGGATGCTGTCTAATTTAATGTATTATAGGATGATTTTCTACTTCCGGGTGGATCATGAAGACTATTGGTCCTCTCACATGTCAATCATTCTTCGTCAAATAAGACCAGAGAGTTTGGTTCTAAATGTGGAGAGGGCCTTTCTTTTCTAAAAAACTAGGAAAATCTTTTTTGTTATACCTTTAAATACTGAACAATTAGAAAAAACATATTTTTTGCAGCTAAAATCTAGACCAGACAATAAAAAAACAGGATTCTTTTCTTTTTCTACTCTATATTAAAATACAGTTTTAAAACAGTAAAAAAAAAAAAAAAAACATTGTTATGGTTTTTTTTGTGACAGAACAAACAAGAAATCTCTCTCTGACCTACTGTAAGTATTAGTTAGTATTTTAGTATTTTTAATTTCATTCATTCGTGGGGTTTAGAATGCGTGTCAAAATGTGGCTAAAACATGGAGGCGTCTACGTCTGTCTGTTTAGTCGAGTACGTTTAAAGTATATGTTTGATTTGAATCATTTATATATTTAAATCCCCTCCAGCAGCAGCGTTTGATCTTCCAGAGTGTCCCTGAACACACCACAAACACACAATTGACCTGAGCACGTTCTGTCTGCGTTAAAACAGAAAATGTCAACTCGACAAGACAAAATGATGTTATTTTGAAAAGATAAAGTCTTCTTTGGAGTGAGAAAATAACATTTGTGAAAAAAATTGCTTTGTTCCATCTTGTTTCAAAACGTAAATCCAGAAACATTTTGCCAAAGCCATTGCTGTCGACCAATCAGATGGAGCCTTGTGTAAAAAGTCTTTGGCTTCTTCACGGATGATTAGCAGTATTGTGGAAAAAAACCTCACAGGGACCAGATCAGTGGCTCTGATGGAAGAGCATTGGCCTTTAAGCCTGAAGGTTGTGGGTTTGAGTCCACCTCGAGACCTTCTCCACCGATGACTGCTGTCGTTGTGTCCTTGGGCAAGACACTAAACCCACTTTGCCTATAAGGGGCGTGTATATGTTTGTGTGTGAGTGTGTGTATCAAAGTGAGATTTCCCCATTGTGGGAAAAATAAAGGGTCTTCTTCTTCTTCTTCTTTTTCTTCTTCACGCTCATGAGCCACCTGGAAGTTTACTCTCAGTTTTTTTCAATTTTTTTTTTTGACTAAAGAGAGTCAAGACATGGTTTATTTCATACGTCACACATTCATCAAGTAAGTAATATTTATTTATATAGCGCCTTTCACAGACCAGAGTTACTCCACACAGAGATGGGAGCAGGGCCAGTACAGGAGGCACACACCTATTGTAAATGTTTTTAGTGGTAGGGGAAACCGGAGCACCCGGAGGAAACCTACGCAGACATGGGGAGAACACGCAAACTCCACTCAGAAAGGCCCTGTCCCGACTGGGATTCGAAACCAGGACCTTCTTGCTGAGAAGCCAGAGTGCTAACCACTCAGCCACCGTGCCGGAAAGACTATGTGTCATATCAAGAGACATCGAAAGAACATACAACGGATAAAATGGATACACAATCATACCAGACACACAATCGTAGCAGATACACAATCATACATACAAAATACAACAAAAATACACAGGACACATATTGTATTCAAAGATGCAGTAAAAAAGGCAAAAGTTAAAACATACAAATTAGGTATATACCAAAAAATTATAGTTGTTTGTCAATTGTTGTGTTGCGTTTTTAATTTCTAAATCAAACAATTGGGTCAGTGTCAGGCCTAGAAGTGCCAGAGAAAAACAAGATCTCGTCTTTCTGATTCAAACCAAATTCAAATCATTCAAATCAATAATAATATCAATAATACTGATTCCACGGACGTACTGCTGTCGGTCCCACTGCTGCTTTACTTTCCAGAACCATGAGAGAGACCAGAGAGAGACCAGAGAGAGACCAGAGAGAGACCAGAGAGAGAGACCAGAGAGAGACTAGAAAGAGAGACCAGAGAGAGACTAGAGACGGACCAGAGAGAGATTAGAGAGAGAGACCAGAGAGAGAGACCAGAGAGAGACTAGAGAGAGAGACCAGAGAGAGACTAGAGACGGACCAGAGAGAGATTAGAGAGAGAGACCAGAGAGAGGAGAGAGATCAGAGAGAGAGACCAGAGAGAGACTAGACAAGAGGAGACCAGAGGAGAGGCTAGAGACGAGAGCCACAGAGAGAGACCAGGAGAGAGCAGAGGACCAGAGGAGAGACCAGGGAGACGAGAGAGACCCAGAGAGAGACCGAGAGAGAGACCAGGACATGAGACCACAGAGAGACATAGAGAGAGACCAAGAGAGACGAGGACCCATGGAGAGAGACCAGAGAAGAGAGAAGAGTAAGTTAAGTAAGTAAGTAGTAAGTTTTTATTTATATAACCGCCTTTTCACTGCAGACCTGAGTCTCAAAGCGGTTTACAATTGTTAATTTGGGCATTTGTCTCTCCACTCCACACAGAGATGGGAGCAGGGTTGCCAGTACAGGAAGCGCATGTCAGAACTATTGGACAAAGAGACCAGAGGAGAGGACAGAGACCAAGAGACGAGAGAGAGACCAGAGAGAGGACCTGAGAACCCAGAGAGTGAGGGAGAGGTAGAGGGAGGACACAGAGAGAGACTCAGGAGAAGCGGAGACCAGACGAGAGAGGACAGGAGGAGAGAGAGAGAGACCCAAGAGAGAGACCAGAAGACACCGCAGCACCCAGAGAGCGACCAATGAGAGAGACCAGAGAGAAGTCCGAAAGAGAGACCACGAGTGAGACCAGAGAGAGAGACCGAGAGACGAGAGCAGAAGAGACCAGACAGAGAGAGACCAGAGAGAGGACGCCCAGAGAGAGTGAGGAGAAGAGAGAGAGAACAAGATCCAGCGAGAGGCGACCAGAGAGGAGACCCAGAGAAGACCAGGAGATTACGGCCAGACCTGTCATGACGACCGAGATCCAGAGAGGGAGACCAGAGAGAGGGGAGAGGACCAGAGAGAGACTTGAGAGAGACAGACAGAGAGAGACAGAGAGAGACAGAGAGAGACCAGAGAGAGACCAGAGAGAGACCAGAGAGAGACAGGAGAGAGACCAGAGAGAGAGACCAGAGAGGAGACCAGAGAGAGAGACCAGAGAGAGACCAGAGAGAGAGAAGAGAGAGGGACCAGAGAGAGACCAGGAGAGAGACCGAGAGAGAGAGAGAGACCAGAGAGAGAGACCAGAGAGAGAGACCAGGAGAGACAGAGGAGAGAAAGAGGAGAGACCAGAGAGAGACCAGAGAGAGAGACAGAGAGAGGACCAGAGAGAGGAGACCAGAGGACGAGAGACCAGAAGAGGAGACCAGAGAGAGAAGACAGAGAGAGAGACCAGGAGAGAGACCAGAGGAGAGAGAGAGAGAGACCAGAGAGAGACGAGAAAGAGAGAGAGAGACCAGAGAGAGAGACCAGAGAGAGAAGAGAGACCGAGAGAGACCAGAGAGAGAGAGGAGAGAGAGGCCAGAGAGAGGACCAGAGAGAGAGACCAGAGAGACCAGAGAGAGAGACCAGAGAGGAGACCAGAGAGAGACCAGAGAGAGACCAGAGAGAGACCAGAGAGAGAGACCAGAGAGAGACCAGAGAGAGACCAGAGAGAGACCAGAGAGAGGCCAGAGAGAGACCAGAGAGAAGACCAGAGAGAGACAAGAGAGAGACCAGAGAGAGACCAGAGAGAGACCAGAGAGAGACCAGAGAGAGACCAGAGAGAGACAGAGAGAGAGACCAGAGAGAGACCAGAGAGGAGACCAGAGAGAGACCAGAGAGAGAGAGACCAGAGAGAGAGACCAGAGAGAGACCAGAGAGAGACCAGAGAGGAGAGACGAGAGAGAGAGAGAGGACCAGAGAGAGTCAGTGAGAGTCCAGAGAGAGACCATAGAGACCAGAGAGAGACCAGAGAGAGACCAGAGAGAGAGACAGAGAGAGAGACCAGAGAGAGAGAGACCAGAGAGAGAGACCAGAGAGAGAGACCAGAGAGAGAGACCAGAGAGAGAGACCAGAGAGAGACCAGAGAGAGACCAGAGAGAGACCAGAGAGAGACCAGAGAGAGACTAGAGAGAGACCAGAGAGAGAGACCAGAGAGAGACAGACAGAAGAGAGAGAGACCAGAGAGAGACCAGAGGCCAGAGAGAGACCAGAGAGAGACCAGAGAGAGTCCAAGAGAGAGACCAGAGAGAGACCAGAGAGAGACAGAGAGAGAGACCAGAGAGACGGAGACCAGAGAGAGACCCAGAGAGACCAGAGAGAGACCAGAGAAGAGACCAGAGAGAGCGATACAGAGAGAGACCAGCGAGAGACCAGAGAGAGATGACCAGAGAGAGACCAGAGAGAGACCAGAGATAGACCAGAGAGAGACCAGAGATGAGACCAGAGCAGAGAGACCAGAGAGATGGCCCGATCGTTAGAGACAGCGAGAGAGACAGTGTTCAGCTTGTTATACGGTGGTTTCTGGTTTTTATCACAGGGGTAATGTGTTCTAAAGGATTAACCATACAAGTGCCATGGTAAAAATGATGCATCAGTGTTTTGAGGCTGTAAAATCCCTCACTTTTGAAGGCACCTGAACTCACGACTGCTATAGTGAGAGAGACCAGCAAGAGAGACCAGAGAGGGACCAGTGAGAGACCAGAGAGGGACCAGAGAGAGAGACCAGAGAGTGACCAGTGAGAGACCAGCGAGGGACCAGAGAGGGACCAGAGAGTGACCAGTGAGAGACCAGCGAGGGACCAGAGAGGGACCAGAGAGAGAGACCAGAGAGAGACCTGAGAGGGACCAGAAAGACCAGAGAGAGACCAGAGAGAGAGACCAGAGTGACCAGAGAAAGACTAGAGAGAGACCAGAGAGAGACCAGAGAGGGACCAGAGAAAGACCAGAGAGAGACCAGAGAGACCTGAGAGAGACCAGAGAGAGAAACCAGGAAGAGAGACCAGAGAAAGACCAAGAAGACACGAGAAAGATGCCCGATAGAGAGACAAGAGAAAGATCAGAGTGAGTGACCAGAAAGATAGACCAGAGAGACCAGAGGACTAGTCAAATTAATACTTTTTAAATATCTTAAAAAGTTAGGGTCAAACTCCAGGAAGTGTTGTAGATTCGATCATGTGCAAACTCCACAGCTATTTGCATGTTCTTCCGGTCTTTTAGGTGTGAGAAAAGTCCGAGTAAAACCTCAGGCATGGCTCTTCTCCATCATCACAGTGAGGCCAGTCTCCCCCCTGAGCCTTCTCCCGGGGCTGGGGGGAGGCAGAGGGGAGAGGGGGGTTAGAACGGTCTCAGTCTGGCAGCAGAGAGAGGGGGGGGTATCAGGGGCCGCACCCGGGGCATGACCCAAGAGTCTAGGGTTCTGTGTCTGAAGACCGGCTCCACATGGAAGCCTGTCTGTGCCCATTATAATCAGATTTTTCACTCTATTGTGCCTTAAAGCTGGGGTACGTAACTTTGAAACAACAACAAATGAACTCTCAATTTATTCCATGTCACTGGATTTAAAAAACTTTGCTCCTGCCACTAGTTTTCACATGTATGTTTGGGCCTCTGTCACATATTACTATCTGGTCTCTCTCTGGTCTCTCTCCGGCCTCTCTCTGGTCTCGCTCTGGTCTTTCTCTCTGGCCTCTCTAGTCTCTCTCTCTCTTGTCTCGCTCTGGTCTCTCTCTCTGGCCTCTCTCTGGTCTCTCTCTAGTCTCTATCTATCTGGTCTCTCTCTCTCTCTGGGTTCTCTCTGTCAATCTGGTCTTTCTCTGGTCTCTCTCTGGTCTCTCTCTGGTCTCTCTCTGGTCTCTCTCTGGTCTCTCTCTGGTCTCTCTCTGGTCTCTCTCTGGTCACTCTCCGGTCTCTCTCTCTGGTCTCTCTCTCTGGTCTCTCTCTCTGGTCTCTCTCTCTGGCCTCTGTCAGGTCTCTTTCTGGTCTCTCTCTGGTCTCTCTCTGGTCTCTCTCTGGTCTCTCTCTCTGGCCTCTGTCTGGTTTCTCTCTGGTCTCTCTCTGGTCTCTCTCTCTGGTCTCTCTCTGATGGTCTCTCTCTGGTCTCTCTCTCTAGTCTCTCTCTCTGGCCTTTGTCTGGTCTCTCTGATTTCTCTCTGGTCTTTTTCCCCTTTTGATTTTTGCCTTTGAAACAGAATTATTACCTTTCATTAAGTTTTGGCCGATCACAGAGAGTTTCAGGCTGATCACATATTTTACCCTTATTCCAAAACATGAAGAGACAAAACGAACGGTCTCCTTCTTGTGTTGAATCGTCAACAATAACGTCTTCTTTAACGCGCTGTTGTGTGTCTAAAACAACACAAGCAACACAAACAGGAGCTGTGCGGCGTGACTGCCCGGGCGCAGAGTGGACGCGACACGGCAGAACGGCGGCGGGCCCGTGCGGCTGACACCAAATCAATGGCACTTTTCCGCGTTATCAATTAAAGAGGTGTAATTACAAGCGTGGAGAATTGCCTTTCACAAACAGACGAGACGCCGGAGCCTTCCCCCGAGTCGCTGACCCCGGCCGGCCCCTAGCGAGCGACCTACAGCACCTGAGCACGAGTCCGGTCGGTCGTCTCAGCTTTAGATTTATTCACTTTTGATTTCTGAGACTCCGTGGAATTCATTAAAGGAAAGCCGTCACCGTGTTGGACTTTAAGTTATGCCGTTTTTCCAGGTCCACGCCCCTCCACACATCTGAAACCTGATATGAACCCAATCCATGAAGGGGATACAAAATAAAATTGTTTTTAATTAGATAACTGCATGATTTATACATTTTCAGTCAAAAATGTGTTTTTAAACTTTTACTTATTCCAGAAGTTACTACAGAACAAGTGTTGTTTATTAACAGCCTCAGTCCTGGGTCTACAGCCTCAGTCCTGGGTCTACAGCCTCAGTCCTGGGTCTACAGCCTCAGTCCTGGGTCTACAGCCTCAGTCCTGGGTCTACAGCCTCAGTCCTGGGTCTACAGTCTCAGTCCTGGATCTACAGCCTCAGTCCTGAATCTACAGCTTCAGTCCTGGGTCTACAGCCTCAGTCCTGGATCTGCAGCCTCAGTCCTGGATCTACAGCCTCAGTCCTGGGTCTACAGCCTCAGTCCTGGGTCTACAGCCTCAGTCCTGGATCTACAGCCTCAGTCCTGGATCTACAGCTTCAGTTCTGGGTCTACCGCCTCAGTCCTGGATCTACAGCTTCAGTCCTGGGTTTACAGCCTCAGTCCTGGATCTGCAGCCTCAGTCCTGGATCTACAGCCTCAGTCCTGGATCTACAGCTTCAGTTCTGGGTCTACCGCCTCAGTCCTGGATCTACAGCTTCAGTCCTGGGTCTACAGCCTCAGTCCTGGATCTGCAGCCTCAGTCCTGGATCTACAGCCTCAGTCCTGGATCTACAGCTTCAGTCCTGGGTCTACAGCCTCAGTCCTGGATCTGCAGCCTCAGTCCTGGATCTGCAGCCTCAGTCCTGGATCTACAGCCTCAGCTCTGGGTCTGAGGCTGTAGACCCAGGACTTCTATGTTAAAAACCCACTTGTCACATTGAAACGCATTGAATTGTGACATTTGTTGTAAAGATTTTGAACACAGACAAGATGCAAATTTAAACTAGAGAAGATGCAGTCATTCTAATCCTAAACACTGGTCCAGGTTTGCGGCCCGGTGCACTACGCGGTCCTGAAAACATATTTGGTCCGGTGCCAAAGAGCAGAATGTATTCACCGCGGCCCTCACAGCAGCTGGGTCCTGCGCATTAGCCAATACAACACACGACACGCAACCTTCGGCACCTGGAAGCCCTTTTGGAGCGCGTTCGGAACAGATGGATGCTGCTCCGCCATTATCCACGCATTACCTGCGTCCGTCAAAGTGCCGCGACAATACAGACGCTCGTGAAGCCATCAGGAATCACCACGGAGAGAGAAGGGGGGGCACAGCTGCAGGTTAACATAAGAATTCTGCTGCTCCGGTCTAAAGAGGCGCGATTAGAAAACACATGTCGATAAATGTCCCTTATCCTTAGACTCTTCTGCATCTGCAAGGAACTGCTGAAGAATACTGTATGTGAGGACCCTCGGAAAGGCCTGAGGCTGTAGATCCAGGACTGAGGGTTTAGATCCTGGACTGAGGCCGTGGACCCAGGACTGAGGCTGTAGATCCAGGACTGAGCCTGTAGATCCAGGACTGAGGCTGTAGACCCAGGACTGAGGCTGTAGATCCAGGACTGAGGCTGTTGATCCAGAACTGAGGGTTTAGATCCAGGACTGAGGCTATAGACCCAGGACTGAGGCTAAAGATCCAGGACTGAGGGTGTAGATCCAGGACTGAGGGTTTAGATCCAGGACTGAGGCTGTAGATCCAGGACTCAGGACTGGGGAGGCTCCCATGTGTATATTACTTTATTACTCTAATCAGCTCCCAAGCCATTTGTACATTTTAAATTTACTCTTCTCAGTCCAAAACCTTTCCAATAAGAACCGTTTTCATACCGGCTCTTCAATACCACTGTATATCTTAACCATGCTTCTAGATTTCAATCAAAAGTTAAGGTTATGAACAGTTAGTGGGAACAGCAGGCTCTGAATGCCGCAGTGTCCGGACCACACAAACAACGCAAAAACAACTCCATACAACTTTGAGAAATGCAGCCAGAATATTCCGTTTAGCACTCTTTGGGGACAGGTCTCGTGTGACAGTGTGTGAGACAGTGTGTGTGTGACAGTGTGTGTGAGAGGAGCGTGTGAGCGTGGGTCAGGTTGTGTTTGCTCACAGCGGTCAGCAGCTCTCGTCCAGTCCGTCTCTGTCTCTCAGTTCTCATCTGTGCGCCCCCCGTCTGCCTACGTAACAACTGTAACAACAAACCGGTCCCATCAAAGAGATCGGAGACACTGACCTCAGCTCTGGACTGAGACCCTCTGAGACCGCTGTGGAAGACCTGTTATATGGTCGGTTTCCTGGTTTTGTGAAGGCTGTGTTTTGGCTATACGTTCATAAACACCAGGGCGCTGCAAAAAATGAGCAAATGTGAGGTAGTTATTGCTTGAATCGAGTGGTTTTTGCCTTTAGATCCAGGACTGAGGGTTTAGATCCGGGACTGAGGGTTTAGATCCAGGACATTCTGACATTCGGTCTTTAACCCTTTAATGGTTCCCTCAACTTTTTGGTGGATCGCTTTTTGAGTCACTACATTTACTTCATTGCGGCATCTCTTTCCCTAGAATCTCTATCAATCTGCATCTCAATCATTTGATAAGGCCTAAAATTAAAAAAACTAGGGGTTAAAAAAAAATATATAATAATAATAATAATTTGTGTTTTTACTGCTCCCACATCTTGAAAAATTGGCATCGCTTACTTCAAGGAGTGAACATGAAAGGGTTAAACAAAATTTGCCAAAACATTTCTTGTATCTTTTTATAACAAGAAATCTAGTTTTAAGGCAGTCAAAATGCAATTAAATTAAGATTTTCCCGTAATAATCATTTGTGATGGTGTTTCAAATCGCCTCTGCAAAAACATTCTATCCCTGCATCTCTTTGTATATGTTTTATTCTCTTCATTTAAAGGAGGGTTATAGATACAATGCCATAAAACATCCCAAGAGCCAGTTAAGACCATTTCACGGCTCCTTTTCTCTGTGTGAGTTGCGTGGTCCTTGTGTGGTCTGTGTGTGTGTGTGTGTGTGTGCTGCAACACCAAAATGTCCTCACTGTGGGAAAAATACAGGTTCTCTTATCTTGTCTTTTCATTGCATCAAACCATTAGAATAAGTTTAACATAATTTGTATTGGTCTAATGTTCTATGGCATTGTATCTATAGCCGTCCTTTAAATGAAGAGATTAAAACATATAAAAAGAGCTGCAGAGGTACATTATTGAGCCTAACTGGTGTCTTCAGTCTGGAAACGCCACTTGTGAGCGTAACATTACAGATTTTATGATCCCGCTGTAAAAACACGCAGTACGCCGCCGAACCTGACCTCCAGCAGGGCCTTGTACTCCTAAATCCTTATGGACAGATAAAGCAGTGCGCCGCAGCCGTCTGATGGCAGCTTTTATTGGTCCATAAGCAGGTATCGACTCCCTGTCCGCTCCCATCACGTCTCAGGTAGCTCTCCACAAACATTTCATTTACTCCGCTTCCCAGAGGTCCCCGATTATCCGCCGGCACTTCCAGCGATGGACACGGATATAAATGTAGTGACTGGAAACTGGAGGATTTGTGGGGGTTTTTTACACGCATTTTACACACATACACACACTGCCTGTACTTATAAACCAGTCACAATAATAATAATAAAGCATGGGTTTTCTACAGCGCTTTCTCGGACTCTCAAATACGATTCACGGCGTTGTTCCTTCACTCAATACACGGTGGTGACAGACAACTACTGTAGCTACCACAGCTGCCCTGGGGCACACTGACAGAAGAGAGGCATCCAATGTGACCCGCCACTGAGAATGTTTTGAGGAATATAAGGAGGGCCAGGTTGTGAAGGGATTTGAAGGTGATGAGGAGAACCTTCTAATGTATGCGGTACAGGACGGGGAGCCAGTTCTTTGAGGACAGGGGTTATGTGGTCTCTTTTGCAGGTGTATTTTCCAGTTTTTGGAGTAGAGGAGAGACCATTGAGAGCTCTACATTGCGTGTCCTCTGTCCTCGTTCTACAGCTTGAGTCCTGAACCTATAGCCCATCCGACAGGGAGCGGATCCTTCCCTCAATCTAGGCCTCCCCGAAGTTTCTCTTTTTACTACTACTGGGATTTGAGTTTTTCCATCCCAATTCAGGAGTGTCCGAACAGCATTACTTCTTCACGCTTTTGCTGGTATTTTGGCCCATTCTTCCATGCTTCTGTTTTAGGGATACCATATACAGTACCTTGAGTCAGTATTATGCAACATTGGCCTGAGACACGCTTACCCTTTTGCCCTGGGCTCCCTCCCCTCATTATTGTTCCTCCCAGATCAGATCGTGGTCGTGGAGATCCGCTGCTGACAATGAGACCCGCTCATTCTTTGTGCTTGCAGGTACAATATTTACACGGTCTATTCTTTGGTCCAGGAGAAAAGGAGGAGTTTTGTAGAGTGGGCGCTGAGTGAGAATCCAAAGAGCAGACGGCTGAAGCGATGGAGCCGAATGTGGGCCGCGCTCACAATCACAGGAAACGCCCCACTCGGCCTCAAAGCCACAACACAGACACAGGGAAAAGACATGAACCTGTAGATCCAGGACTGAGGCTGTAGGTCCAGGACTGAGGCTGTAGGTCCAGGACTGAGGCTGTAGGTCCAGGACTGAGGCTGTAGGTCCAGGACTGAGGCTGTAGATCCAGGACTGAGGCTGTAGATCCAGGACTGAGGCTGTAGATCCAGGACTGAGGCTGTAGGTCCAGGACTGAGGCTGTAGATCCAGGGCCGAGGCTGTAGGTCCAGGACTGAGGCTGTAGATCCAGGGCCGAGGCTGTAGATCCAGGACTGAGGCTGTAGGTCCAGGACTGAGGCTGTAGATCCAGGACTGAGGCTGTAGACCCAAGACTGAGGCTGTAGACCCAGGACTGAGGCTGTAGGTCCAGGACTGAGGCTGTAGATCCAGGACTGAGGCTGTAGGTCCAGGACTGAGGCTGTAGATCCAGGGCCGAGGCTGTAGATCCAGGACTGAGGCTGTAGGTCCAGGACTGAGGCTGTAGATCCAGGACTGAGGCTGTAGACCCAAGACTGAGGCTGTAGTCTGATGTTATGCCATTTATGACCATTTCATCTCAAATTATCTCCGTGACAATGTGTTCGCAGTGCAAAAACAGCTCTAGAAAGTTCAATCTTCCACATATTTAGCCCATCTCCAATGTTGGTGCGGCCTCCGACAAATTACAAACCTTGTCTCATTAGGAACAGAGAAACTGGAGTCAAATATTTACAAAGGTGTAATCCTGAAGCCGTGTGCAGCACAGTATTGTGTGGAGCAGATGTGGAGAAGTCTGGACCCGGCCCGAGACCAGGCCCCTTCGCTTGTTGAGACAGGTTGTCAAACAGCCGAAGAAAAGAGCTGGTAGATGAGAACGTTTACAAAGGAGAGGTTTGCTTCTCCAGAGTGTGCAGGATCGCTCGTCACCTCCGTCCTGTTTGTGTGGAGTGATGTGAGGGTCACTCCAGGCAATAGTCAGAACCACCCAGGGTTTACAGACCAGCCAGGCCATAGTCAAAACCACCCAGGGTTCAAAGACCAGCCAGGCCATAGCCAGAATTATCCAGGGTTCACAAATCTGCCAGGCCATAGTCAGCACCACCCGGGGTTCACAGACCAGCCAGGAAATAGTCAGCACCATCCAGTGTTCACAGACCAGCCAGGCCATAGTGAGCACCATCCAGGGTTTATAGACCAGCCAGGAAATAGTCAGCACCACCCAGGGTTCACAGACCAGCCAGGAAATAGTCAGCACCATCCAGGGTTCACAGACCTGCCAGGCCATAGTCAGCATCATCCAGGTTTCACAGACCTGCCAGACCATAGCCAGAATTATCCAGGGTTCACAAATCTGCCAGGCCATAGTCACCACCACCCAGGGTTCACGGACCAGCCAGGAAATAGTCAGCACCACCCAGGGTTCACAGACCAGCCAGGAAATAGTCAGCACCATCCAGGGTTTACAGACCAGCCAGGAAATAGTCAGCACCATCCAGGGTTCACAGACCTTCCAGGCAATAGTCAGAATCATCCAGGGTTCACAGACCAGTCAGGAAATAGTCAGAACCACCCAGGGTTCACAGACCAGTCAGGAAATAGTCAGGACCACCCAGGGTTCACAGACCAGCCAGGCCGTAGTCAGTACCACCCAGGTTTTAACTGACTAAGCTTCATACAAAAAGTCTTTATTAAAAATTGTTTTGCAGATGAGAATGTTGAGGAGTTCTAAATAAAAACTGATGTTCTTTCGGAAATTATAAAAATATAAGTCTGTAGCAATTATAGCTTTTTAAAAATTCGAAACAGAACAAAAAATAAGTCTTTATAATTCAGAATTTTCCCTTTTTACAATTTTCAATGTAATTTTTTTTTTATGTTTACTTGACCGAATACATTCTAAAAAATAGTCAAATCCCAATAGAGACATACATTTGTAAATTTCATATTTTTTCAAGTACAAAATAATACAAAGTGTGTTCCTGCCGCCGCTGATCTGGAGCCAGGAGCTGCTTCTATCAAGGCTTTTACCACTGGGGACATATTAAAACATTTTCTCAGCTACCTTCAAAACTTAGCAATTAGCATGCAGTGGGAGCGGGCCTGTTCTCTTTCTAGTTAAAGGTGATCCCTCTTAAGCGGCATTAGGATCACCAGGGACCAGCGGAGGACAGGCAACAGCTGGAGGCGGGTCCCACATCTGACGCTTACAACCTTCTTTCATCTGCTTTAAACACATCATTCAAACACGCAGCAATTAATACTGACTTTGTGGAGCTGCTGTTTGATAAACGTGAACGGCGGGCAAACTGAGGCCTGCGGGCCGATGGTGGCTCTCCGGGTCGTGTTCTGTGGCCCTCTGCAGCTATCGACAAGTCACAGTGTCATCCAGCCAACTTCAGCTCGGACGTTATGGGCACGTTTATCCCGTGTGAAATTCAGGATATCTGGAATCCAGTTGTTGCATGTTGGTTTTCTCTGGTCTCTCTTTCTGGTCTGTTTATGTCTTCATGGTTTCTCCCTCTGGACCCTCTCTCTACTCTCTCTCTCTCTCTGTTCAACATCCAGTCTATCTCTCTGGTCTCTCTCTGATCTCATCCTGCTCTCTCTTTCTGGTCCCTCTCTGGTCTTTCAAGTCTCTCTCTGGTCTCTCTCTGTGGTCTCTTTTTGTTCTCTCTCTGGTCTGTTTTTGTTCTCTAAAATCCAGTTGTTGACTCGCACTCATTGTAAGCACGAATTTATCTTTTGAGTAAACATTTGTCATTCAGCCAACTTCAGCTCCATCACATTTTAACCACTATAAACATGTCCTACCTCATTTTAAACCTCAGAACGGCCTGAATCCAGTCAAATAGTCCGTGAATTAAAGTCTTACTAAAGACAGTGGCTTCGTGTACCATCCTGTAATATATTTCAGAGTAACAACAATAGCGTTATCTATGAGCCACAGAAACAGCACGTCATTTGTCGCCGACTCTTTCTCTGAGTGCATTACCTCTTTGGAACATTATCGTCTTGACACTGAAAAGGTCACATGTTGTAGACGGCTGTGATTTTTCCATCTTCCTGCAGCTTGTCTTATAAAATACTCAGTACCTGCTCCGCTCTGCCCGAGTCTCCTGATGGCTCCAGTCGCCTTTTATTATGAGTGTCTGCTGCCGACCTGTGTGTGTGTGTGCATGCATGTAGGTGTGTGTGTGTGTGTGCATGCATCTGTGTTTGTGAGTGTGTGTGCATATCTGTGTGGGTACGTGTGCATGTGGTGTGTAGGTGTGCGTATTTGTGTGTGTGTGTTTGCGTATATAGGTATGTGTGTGTGTGTGGGGGGGGGGGGGGGGGGGGGGGGGGTTGTATGTGTGAGTGTGAGCGTGTATATAATTCAAGAAAATGCAAAAGTTTTCGATCAAATAAAAGGGGGTGTGCGCATGTGCCTGTGGAGTATCATTAAAGAAATAGAAACCACCCATATGTTTTAGATGAAATACTGTATGTGTGTGTGTTTATGCATATGTGTGTGTGTGTTTGTGTGTGTATTCTTTAACTTCTAGATCAAGCAAATACATACATTAACATTTATACTGCAGATGTAAACACATGCCCACAGCAGGTCGGAAAATCAAAGAACCCTTGAAGAAACCTGGAGATCCACACGTTAAAGAGCCGGAATGAACGCAACACAATCCTCTCCTTGTCGAACTACGGCGGTTACATTATTAGCATCCAGGCTCCAGGCTGCGGTGCTCGTTGTGTAGTGGGGAGCAGGTGATGCGCAGCTGGAGCTATGACCATAAATATGCGTGTGTGTATTAGCGCGCAGAGGTTGAAGAGGGCCGGTCTGCGCTCGCCGTGGCTGAGAGCGGTTGCCTTCACCTGGGGCGGACAGCTGATGGCCTCCTGCATAAGTCATGAGGCCCCGGATCACTCCAGTGTTTATGAACATACATCAATAATGCACGGCGACGGTGAAGCTGAGATTCTGAAGTGCAGAGCGGGTCAAACGTGAGCGAGTCGTCTGGTTTGGGAAACGGGAGCGTGTGGAAATTCCAAGGGCCGGATTGTCAAGTTAAAAAACGACTACTTTCAATGAGCTCTCCATGGCCTCGCACCAAAGTATATCTGTGACATGCTAGTGCTGTGAGAACAAACTGGGACTCTGAGGAGCAGAGGGACTGCCCTACTGCTGGGACTCTGAGGAGCACACGGACTGGCCTCCTGCTGGGACTCTGAGGAGCACAGGGACTGGCCTCCTGCTGGGACTCTGAGGAGCACAGGGACTGGCCTCCTGCTATTGACTCTGAGGAGCACAGGGACTGGCCTCCTGCTATTGACTCTGAGGAGCACAGAGACTGGCCTACTGCTTTTGACTCTGAGGAGCACAGGGACCGGCCTCCTGCTGGTCCCAGAGTCAGGACTGAACATGGGGAGGCATCGTTTCAGATTTGCGCAACCAAAATCTGGAACAGTCTTCCTGAAAATGTGAGGCTTCCGGATACAAAACAGATCAGTTTCGCTGCAACAACTGAAGGCTCTATCTTCCTTCTTTTTAATGTACTGAGATTATTTATTTGTGTAATATTATTATTAGGTTGTATTTATCATCAACCAGTAGTTCAACACTTTCTATATAACGTTTGTGATTTATAAAAGACAAATTGTTAATTGGACTTATATATTACTAAAGTGTAAAGGACCTAAAACTGAACCCTGGGGAATCCCATCTCACTGACTTGTACATGTATTATTTCTGTATGTTTTTAATTGCTAGGCGCTTTTTGAAAGGCGCTATACAAAAAAACTTTACTTTCTTAGTTACAAGTCTGTATTGTGAATGCACGACAGGGAACACATCTAACTTTTGCTCAAAAATGTACTCAATCTACCAGTTTCTTCCACAAAGAATCTGAGCTGGAGACAAGACCTTGACATTCTTATCCTGACAGGGGAAGGTAGTCATGTACTCTCTTTGTCTGAAAAAAACGGCACAGGCGAGCTAACCGTTCTCATTTCACGGCACAGATGGCTGGATCAGACAGGTACAAGCACACCACAACATGTCCCTCCCCATTGTCCCACGGTTCATGCATAAATTAGGTTCCTCGGCGGTCCAGGTTCCTCCCATGGCTCCTGTCTGCACCGAGATCCAGACCTCAGCCCTCCCATTACCAGCCATCGGCGCTAAGCAGAAATGATACCGCCAGCACTTTGTGTCACACGTCCTTATAGTCAACAGCGCTCGCGTGGAAGCCGAGGGGGGGGGACCTTTTCGGGCCATCTGTGCGCTAAAAAGGTGGGCGGGTCTCACGAGAGGCAGAGGACAGTGTTGTACCAGCGGCGCGCGCAAGATGAAATATTTACTTCTTACCTGTGTACTGCTAATGTCAGATGGCTCTGAGAGGTTTTACAGATTATGTGTTTGACAAGAGGAGGCAAGGGGGTGGGGGGGTAGCAAGAGATGAGGAAAAGGCTATTGCAAGGGCTGAGGGAAGGGCTAAGGCAAGGGCTGAGGCAAGGGCTGAGGCAAGGGCTGAGGCAAGGGCTGAGGCAAGAACGGTGGGAAGAGCTGAGGCAAGGGCTGAGGCAAGAGCTGTGGGAAGAGCTGAGGAAAGGGTTATTGCAAGGGCTGAGGCAAGAGCAGTGGGAAGAGCTGAGGCAAGGGCTGAGGCAAGAGCGGTGGGAAGAGCGGTGGGAAGAGCTGAGGCAAGGGCTGAGGCAAGAGCGGTGGGAAGAGCTGAGGAAAGGGTTATTGCAAGGGCTGAGGCAAGAGCGGTGGGAAGAGCTGAGGCAAGGGTTGAGGCAAGGGCTGAGGCAAGAGTTTAGGAAAGGGCTGAGGCAAGGTCTAAGGCAAGGGCTAAGGCAAGCAGTGAGGCAAGGGGGGGTTGGCAAGAGCTGAGGAAAGGGTTAAGGCAAGGGCTGACGCAAGAGCTGAGGCAAAAACTGAGGCAAGGGCCCTCCTGGTTTCTTTCGGTTGCTCCTTGCTGAAGCAGGAGGGTCGAAGACAGATGGTGATAGATGGTGATCCAGGACACTCGACATTCAATGACATTTATGTACTATTATCTGAATATCTGTTAGCTCCTGTGGACTCAGCACCTGCAGGAGGATCAGTGAGGGGCTGGTGCTCTGTGATTTGGGTGCAGCTCTAACTTCCACCCCCCGACCCAGAAATGGATTAAGGGGAAGAAAATAGATGGATGGATATGTACAACTGATAGCCATTTTTCTGTATTTGTTTGATAATGTGGTTGTTTTTTATACATCGCTGCTAAATACTGTACTGTAACTTTGTATTGCACCTTATTGCTCCAGTAATTGCACATTCTCCATTTGCTGCTAAATGTTGATTACTGTCTATTGTATCTTGCAATATACAGTAACTGTGCATCGTGACCTGGAACTGAAACTAACTTTTTACTGAACGGTATTTTAATATGAATGTTATTTTGAATTTTATTGTGAATACGTAACAATTAAACATGAACTTTGTCCTGAGACGGGGCATCATACGTCATTTGCGTTCAGAAACAACAAACATTAAAGGCTAGGCTTGTGTCCTGCCTCAGAAAGTCCGTAACCGGTCGCCATCTTCTCTCAATAACTGGGGTTTTAAATTGCGATTGTGCAGTGAACCACTTCGTTAAATTAACTTGTCGTGTTTTTTGAATGCATTTGGTGACTGTAGGTGGCTCAGGCTTTCACCAACAATTTTTCTTGCAGTCATTAAGATAATATAGAGAAGAAAGGTTGGATAAATGTCCAGTAAAAATATTTGGGTCAGGGTTAGGGTAACGAGATGAATATATATGTTATTTGATTGTATTATGACCACTACAAATGGGAAGTAACTTATAGTAAATCTGGTGCAACCATGTTTTTAATGTAACTGCACATTGTCCTCAATAAATTAAACTCCAAACTCTAAACTTTATTAACATTTATGTACATTGGTCATCAGCCGCTTATGGGCCGAGAATTTTTAATGGTTTCTTACATGTTTTTGTACATATTTAAGTCCAATAAAAAGTTAAAAAAGTATACCGAGACTGATAATACATATTCAAAGCGCCACTATTCCAAAGCAGACTTTTCAAACTCAGGCCCCGGGGCCAAATCCGGCTCACAAGACCAGTTTTAGTGGTCCCTGAAATGATTTTGAATTCCTGTTACATAAACTTGAAACATTCAATGGATATTGGCAACTATGGCATGTTACACCTCATTTTAATTTAAGTTTAGCATCAGGAAAACAACCATATATTTCAATATGTTCTAAAATGTAAACTAAAATGTAATTACAAATGAGTAGTTATTCAAATATTAATTTGTAAATACATCTCTTCTCAATATTTGGCCCAGTTGTGGGTGAATCCAAACCTAACCAGAAAAAATTATACAAATTTGTTACAAATAATACTTTTGGCCTAGCCTGGTCGTACCACACCATAGTGCAAATAAAATTTCATACTAAGGTCTGGAGGTGCTCCATTGAGCTCCATAAACAGGTGGGAGGGGTTAACTCCTTTTGCAGATTAAAACAATTGGATCTGAGTTCACGTATGTAATGAGCCCGAGTGAGTCATTAGCATTTAGCATTTAGCCTAGCCATCTCCTTTGCCGCTAACGGAGCCCGTGGAGAGTAGCACCACAATCTTTCCAGCGATTACATTTGTTAAACATTCCTCTTGCTTCGGCTTCAATTTCTTGATATAACCAGACCGGAATACTTTACTATCGCATTCTTCACCATTGCCAAACTACACCAGCCTCCCTCGCTCGTTGATTGGTCGGATGGATTTCAACCGATTGTAATCACAAACACAGGGACCAGACCCAGACGCAGAGTGTACGGATGGATAAGGCCAGGCTACTTTTGGACCAAACCATCTCTTATGTTTTCAAATTTGGCCTCCGACCAAAATGAGTTATCCATGTCTGTCATAAAGCATTGTTTTGCTCTGGACGACAGAAGTAAAACTCCTCAGGTCCTTTTGATGATTTTCACACGTTCAAATCTCAGATGAGCTTCTCCAAAAGCGGGTCGTCTTTGAACCTGAGCGGACAAACAGTTAAAGAGGAATGTATGAATATAGAAAGGTTCCTTCGGGTTGTGGAGCTGTAGCCAACATGTGAACATACATCACATGCATTATTAAAGAGGAGCGCCATGAGAGGAAAATATTTACATTCTTGCATAATTCCACCGAGCGTTCTGCTTAACAGCATAACCTACCTAGAATAGAGCAGAAAGAGAATCTGTTAAAGTCAAATTCTAGGTTTGAACCATAACAGACAAATGATTGACACAGTTTTGGTTTCGGAAAGTAGCACAGCATAGAAAACAGTAGATCACTGCAGTAATAATAATAATGTTAACCCCAAACCTCAAGCACCTTTGGAGGTCCCCAATGACGCCTGACAATATTAATATAAACACAAATTATAAAAAATAAAGAATAGATAAATGACTGGGAATGTGGTGGTGCCTGATGAAGGTTTAGCTTTGCATCAGCGGATATCAAAAATGTATTTGTTTACATTATGAAAAGTATTTTGACAAAGGTGCTTTGTGTGAGCTTGGTCTCTGAAATGTGCTATATCAATAATCACTACTATAATTTAATTTAACCTGAGTAGATTTTTCTGAACAAAACCAGGTACTGTTGGTTTGAATTTAACCAAAGTAGGTCAACGTAAAAATTATTATGTTTCAGTCAACAAATACAAATGTTGTGTTAGAATAAGATCAATTATGTTGTTGTTTTTTTAAGGTAATAATCTTTAAAATGAGGTATAACATACATGGCTTGTCAATGCTACAAGTTATTATTAATAATTTTAAATCATTTCAGGAGCCACTGGGGCCTTGTGTTTGGCACCTGTGCTGTAGGGGGAAGATTAAAGCTTGGGTATCTAACTTTCCAACCACAAAAACGTAACTAATAAAACCCATGACTCTAGTTTCTGGCTTGATAGTTTGCTTCACTAGTTTTCACACCGCGTATTTCTGGCCTCTGTCCCATCTTTAGGACCATCTTTTTAGGATGAGGAGCTACAAGGATTTAAACTAGTTTTGACCAATCAGGCGGCAGCGGAGGTGAGTATGGGCGGGGCTAACCCTTCAATGTCTTCAAAAATAGTTTCTCTCTTCATTCACTTTCAAAAGCTACACCATGAAGCCGATCCAGCTCAAGGCTTGTGTGTTGCTTGTTTGCTGGTCCCCTCGCTTGTTACAGTGCTAGTTCTCTGGTCACCTTGCTTGTTTCGGTGCTTCTCTGGTCCCCTCGCTCGTTTCGGTGCTTCTCTGGTCCCCTCGATTGTTTTGGTGCTTCTCTGGTCCCCTCGATTGTTTCGGTGCTTCTCTGGTCCCCTCGCTCGTTTCGGTGCTTCTCTGGTCCCCTTGCTTGTTTTGCTTGTTCTCTGGTACCCTCGCTGGTTTCGGGGCCTGCAATGGCGCCGTAATGCAGGCTGACAAGGACAGAGCGGCAGCCCGGTTCTCCTGGCCGGCGCTCTGATGTGTGTGTTAGCTGCACAAGGACGTCCAGGTTGTGCGAATGCGCCCGCTGGGACTCGGTGCGGAGATGAATGCGACCGCGCTCCAAACATGTGGGATTATTTAGACGGCTCCTGTCTGCTAATAAGCATTGGGCATCACGCCTCACCCCCCCCCCCCCCCCCTCCCCTCTCCTCCCCCCTCCACCGCCGCGCTCTGTAAGCTGGCAAACGCTGGAACTCTGTCAAACCGGGAAACACGCGAAAACGTTTCAATAATATCTCACTGAACAAAGACAGGCAGGCGATCCCTTCTGAGAGCTGATTGGCTGAGTCCGGGGGGTCCTCTCAGCTTAAATTTTCTGTCTAAAAATAAATGAAAATAAAAAAGTGAAAACTAGTGATAGAAGCAAAGTATTTTAGGGCCAGAGATGGGTTCTATATCTTCTGTATAATCTGAAAGTTACGTACCACAGCTTTAACAACCAGTGTTAAAGCTTAGCGCACCTTTTAGTATTGATAATCTTAAAGCTGGGCTACTTAACTTTCAGACCACAAACAAATGTCACTAGTTTCTCCCTCTAAAACAGTTTTATTCAGTTATCTATAAACAAATAAAAAAAAAGTCTGAAGTACTTGCGTAATCCCATAGAAAGTATTACAGAAGTATTATGAAATATGAAGTATTGAAGTCATTCCGTCACTTAAGTAAAAAAATATAGTTCAAGTTGTGTTGCGACTCGGAGCTGGCATACACCCGCCGTTGGGTTACCCCGGCCTAGAGCTCGGGGCGTCCCTCTGCTCCTACCTGCCCGCCATCCGTTAAACCTCCATCCCTTTGCACATTTAGTCACGCTCATAAATACGGCATTACGCTAGCAGCAGGGTGTTTTATGCTCTCCCTATGGTCTGGCTTTTGTTTTAATGAAGCCATTTGCAACTTATGAGCAAAAAAAAAAAAAATTCTAAAAGGAGAAACGTGGCGTATTAGACCGGGCCGGATCAGTCAGGAGCTGTTTAATGCACGCTCAGAGAGAGAATGAGGCGGTCTGTAGGCAGGAGCCGAGAGCAGTGCGCAAACTGAGGCTGATTTAAAGCCCGGTTGAATGTCGTTGACTTAATCACATTGTTGGCTGTGATTGTGTGAGGCTCGTGTGCGTGTTGTGTTGCCGTGTGCGCGTGGTGCTGGTGTGTGCGCTTACATTAAGACGTGCAAACAGGTCGCGCTACAACATGACAGACCTGCGCGACTTTTTCTCCTTTACGCTGAATAAAGTCAAGTTTGACATATGTGCGCGAAAATGGGTGTTTTACGGCGCAGTCAGGACGTTTTTTTGTCTGTTTTTTTTAAGCGCATTGCGAACAGTTCCTTTTCTGAATATTATGCATCTAATATGGAGCTCAGAGTAGAGTCACTGCTCCTTCTCAAATCGTCTCAAACATGTTTCGATCAGCCAATCATCTCTCAGCCCAAAGAGTCAAACTTCAGCACACGAAAGTAATCCAGTACTTACAGTATACTCTAGTACAGGTTCTCAAATGGCGGAATGGCTGCAGGTTTTCATTCCAACCAAGAAGGAGCACACTAGACTCCACCTATGTTCTCGGGTTGTCAGGTTGCAGACTGGACTCATTAGAGGAAATGGGTGGAGTTTACTGTGCTCCTGCTTGGTTGGAATAAAAACCTGTTTCCTCACTGGCTCTTTTAAGATCAAGTTGAAGACTTCTGTACTGGTGAAAAGAATTCACCACGTGAAATAATCTACGGAGGTTAAAATGGGTCCGCGCTTACATTCGAGAACCAATCAAGAACATAAAACAAACAGATCAAAAAAGTTAAGTGAATTTTATTGTCCTCATAGTACAGTACAGTGCAAAGGGCCCTTCTCCAAATGTTGATATTCGGCTTGGTCTGAATCAGAGCTGGAGAGATTTTGCCAATTTTTCATGACTCAAGATGTAGTGGAAACCAGAGCACCTCAAGGAAACCTACGTAAACACGGGGAGAACATGCAAACTCTACTCTGGGACTGGGTTCAGCTGTGGACTGAGGCAAACTGGGGACTGGTTCAAGCTGGGGTCAGGGTCTAGCTGGGGTCATCTCCGTGCCTTAGTGTTTTGAAGCCAGTCTGCCGTGGACTCGGGCGTATCGATGACGCCGTGACAAATCCAGCACAGTTTTCTGTTCAGAGACACATTCATGACGGCGCTGGTGATAGACATCAAAGAGGAAGAGAAACAAAAGTGCTTCAAAAGTGTAACGAGAGCTCAAAGTTCTCTTTTCTCCTCTTTGTGGAGTGAGTCTTATCATGACAAACACGCATCGTCCACACGCTCAGATCTTACGGCTTTCTTATTCTGCATTATGTTAAAGACGCACATAACAAATGCAAATTTATGGAGCAGCCAGTGTCACCTCACTTTAAGGAAGGCGTCCAAATAGTGGTGCGTGTCTCGCTGAGGCTCATCAAAGTTGTGGCGCAGCTTTGAACGGCGGGACGCTGAGATGTGCCAGCTTTTGTTTCTCACTAATATCCCTGGAAAATCTGGTTAGAATGGGCCCAGAGAGCAGCGGAGCGGAGAATCCACACTGTTATCACAGCTGTCTGTCGAGGAGGCTGGTGAAGGTGTGTGTCTTTGTGTGTGTGTGCGTGTCTGTGTATGTGCGTGTGTGTCCGTGTGTGTCCATGTGTGTGTGTGTGGGTGTGTGTGTGCACTTTGGGTTGCATTTGGTATGAACTGTGCTATAGAAATAAATGTTGGTTGATGTTGATGTGTGTATGTGACTGTGTGTGTCTATATGTGTGTGCATGTGTGTGTGTACGTATATGACTGCCTATGTGTAAGCCGGCATTGTGCGGGTTTTATTTTACTTTTGTATTGCTGTGTGTTTGTTGTGCTTTTAATGAACCGCATGCCGTAGCCACTCCTACCACCTTACTGTCACCAGCCAACTGGACGCCCCTGACAATCACCACACCTGCCTAAATGGGCAGACAGGCTCTTAAAACGAGAAGAGAGCAGCAACAAGAGGAAAACAAACGGAGACTAACGGGAGACTAACGGAGACTAACAAAGACGGGCAGAGACGGGCACGGACGAACGGGACGAGCACGGAGACGAGAGCAGGCCGCGGAGGAAGACCACGAGCGGGACCCGTCGAGTGCCAAAGAGGCGAACCGTGAAGCGACCTACACGCAGCGGCGGGGCTCATACCCCCGCCTACGCAGTCTACGGCCCTGGGATCCGCGGCGGCAGCTGGAGGGCTGCAATCCGGATAAAGAGCGAGGACGCAGAGTCACTGGGACGTACCGCGAAGCGACCTACACGCAGCGGCGGGGCTCATACCCCGCCTGCGCCGTAAGTAGCGGTTCAAGACACGTTTTACACTCCAGCCTTTGGCCCATATATGTGCTGTGCTCTGCCGGTGTGCTGTCTCCCCCTAGAAGCGGTGTGCGCCATTCACATTGGGGACGAGCGCCGTCTACCTGCCTCTGGCCCACGTTAGCCTCAGCCATTGGGGCACAATTCCCCCGGAGCCCCCACATCCGAGGTTTCTGGGTTTTAACGAAGGACTTTTATAACTTTTATCCTTGTCTTTTTATTTAATAAATACTGTATTTGTAAAGAGTTTTTGTCTCTTTGGAAACACCACCATCGCTCTCATCTGCCATAATCAGACAATTCGTCCCCTTTTCACTTCTACAAACTTCATCCTCTGCAATTAAAACCCCCCAACCATTACATAACTTGGCGTTGCTGGCAGGATACACAATTCTGAGAGCTGGTGTTTCCAAAAAGGACAAACATGATGATGATGCCGATTTTTGCGGGCGCGCCGTGGTTACCTAAATTTAAAGGGCCAGACAGTGACTTGAAATACTCTGATTGGAAGGAACAGATAAAAGGGCTTTTGGGTTCACAAGATTTAACAGAGGCACGACAAGTTGAAATTATTATAGGGGCACTAGCTGGGGAGGCTAAGCGGCAAATCACTGTCTTAGAAAACGATGAGCGAGACCAGACAAGGAAGATTTTTGTTTATCTAGACTCAGTATATGGTGAGAAGACTCCAACACCCGTATTGAGATCACAATTTTTTGGCTGTACACAAAGAATGGATGAACCTGTCTTAACCTTCATTTTGAGGCTACGTGAACTCTATTCTAGATTGAGGCGCCAAGACCGTGAAAACCCCCCCTCCGAAAGTGCCTTGCGAGATCAACTGCTGCTAGGCTTGAGCGACAGCCCACTGGCCCAAGCTCTGAAGGTCTATGCTCGCCGTCACCCAGAGCTGGATTTCACAGAGCTACGTGAGGAGGCCAGGTTATTGGAGACTGAGTACGGCCGGGGTCAACCAGAGGTAACGTGTGCCTCAGTTCAAAAACATTATGACTCTCCTAAAACCCCACAGGGATTGGACTGGAAGGAGCAATTGAAGCGCGAAATCATGGAGGAGGTGAACGTCCAAATGAAGGGGCTGTCCCGTGATATCCTCGCTGAGCTTAAACCCCTGCTGCAGTCTGCCTCTCCCCAGTCAAGCCCCCCCAACACCACGTGGAACCGCCGGTATTCACCGAGACCCTATAATGACCGGGACGAGCAAGGTAGGCCTATATGTCACCGCTGTGGAAAGGCAGGACACATTGCTCGCCATTGTAGAGGCACATCCATCCAAGAGCAGCCTTTAAACGGTTAAACCCTGCTGCTGAGGTCCGAGCTGCAGGGCTAGTTAACACCCCACCACCCAATAGGGCCACTGAAACATTTGTTGGGAAATGTCCTACAGTAAAAATAGGCTTTGATGGAGTACAATTGGAAGGCCTTTTAGACACTGGGTCACAAGTTACCTTGATGGCAGAGAGTTTATTCAAGGAACATTTTACCCAAGATAAACTAGGAAAAGCTCCTACTCTATTCCAGCTTAGAGCAGCCAACGGACTAGAAATACCTTACATTGGCTACGCCGTGCTCAACCTAGAGGTTGAGGGTATTAAGGTCCCAGAGAGGGGAGTGGTCATAGTTGCAGACAATAAGTGTACTTCCCCTCTAATTATAGGAATGAACGTCATCATGGCTTGTTGGGATAACATCTTTAAGAGGTCAAAGATGCCTGCTCTCCCACCACAATTTAAACATCTGAGAGTGTGGCGGGAGGCGTTTGCCACCTGCAGCCGCATAGAAGTAGCCCCCACAGAGGATGGGTCAATGGGTTTCGTGAGGTTGGCCACGAAGAATAACATTTCAGTCCCTCCAAACAGTGAGATAGTGGTGTGGGGTCGTACTCGGATGGGGCGGGGTGGAACAGATTTCTGTGCCCTTATAGAGCCGGTTCCTGGGGCTAATATTGGTGGTGTGGGTGTGGCTAGAACGCTGGTCGAGGTGAGGAAAGGAAGAGTCCCTGTTCGCATTTGTAACCCCCACCCCTACAGTGTGTCTGTAGGTCGTTTTACGAGGTTAGGGCAGCTTTATCATATTGAAGAGGCAGATGTACATGGCCCAAATGACCCATCTCTGTTTCTTGAGGGAGACGACGTCGTAGCGGTAACCCTGGTAGATGTCACAACTTCGGCGGCTAACTCTGAGTTGCCCCCAGAGGTGAGCAAGCTGAAAACGCGCCCTGACTTGTCTGAGGTGCAGCAGGAGGAGCTGGAGGCCCTGCTGCAGAGGTGGGAGAAGGTCTTTGCCGTACATGACGAGGATTTTGGCCGGACTGACCTGGTGCAGCATAGAATCCCTACGGGCGATGCTGCCCCCATCCGAGAGAGGCACCGGCCAATCCCCCCAATGCTGTACAGAGAAGTAAAGACCCTTCTATCGAGCATGTTGGAAAAGGGAGTTGTCAAGGAGAGCTGTAGTCCGTGGGCAGCCCCTATTGTCCTCGTACGAAAGAAGGACGGGAGCTGGCGCTTCTGCGTGGACTATCGACGGCTCAACGCTGTAACCCATAAGGACGCGTTCCCCCTCCCACGAATCGAGGAGACCCTAACTAGTCTTGGCCAATCAGAATGGTTTTCGACCCTGGACCTTGCCAGCGGTTACTGGCAGGTCGGCATGCACCCTGCAGACCAAGAAAAGACTGCATTTACTACCCCGCTAGGCCTCTATGAATTCCAACGCATGCCCTTTGGCCTTTGCAATGCTCCTGCAACATTCCAGAGGCTGATGCAGCAGTGCTTAAATGGGCAGATAGCTGAATCCCTTTTAGTCTATTTGGATGACATCATTATTTACTCTCCAAATTTCTCTGCCCACCTCCAGCATCTAGACCAGGTGTTTGAGCGGCTGTGGCGCCACGGATTGAAGCTGCGTCCGGATAAATGCAGGCTCCTGCAGAGAGAAGTAACTTTCCTAGGGCATGTGGTGGATGGACATGGTGTGAGGCCGGATCCAGGGAAGATCGCCTCGGTCCTGGAGTGGCCTATCCCAACCACTGTGAAGCAGGTTAGAGCGTTCCTTGGCTTAGCTGGGTATTACCGCCGCTTCATATCAGGTTTTGCTAAAATTGCCAAGCCCCTTAATGGACTCCTGACCGGTATACCAGCTGACCGCAGATCCTCATCAAGGGCTATAACATGGACACCACAATGTCAGAGTTCTTTTGACTCCTTAAAGAATGCCCTAACCCAGGCCCCTGTGCTGGCTTATGCCCACTACGATAAGCCCTTCATAGTCTACACAGACGCGAGCAACCAGGGGCTTGGTGCTGTCCTATCTCAACATCAAGATGGTCAGGAGCGTGTAATTGCATATGCGAGCAGGAGCCTACACCCAACGGAGAAAAATGACGCGAATTACAGTTCCTTTAAACTTGAGTTGCTAGCCCTTAAAGGCACACCGCGGACTTTGTGACCTAAAGAGTTGACACATATGAGTTATTTTATATGAATACTTGGGCCAATATACAGCGCTTGACACTTGCAATGCTCCGAGCGGGGCTGCCCTCTTGAAATACCGCCCATGTAAGTTTCGAGCAGACGGACCGTCTGCCACCAGGTCACGTGACTTGGAAGAAAGACTTGCTTTACGGCTACAGGCGCTGATATACTCATGGAGCTAAGGCTTTTGCTACTCATTTTTCACCTGCTCGACTCCTGGTCATGGCTGAGGCAAGGAAAAATTTTAAACCTTCGGAGGAGGCTAAAAAGAGGAAACGCGAAAGGGATCGTGCTGTAAGCTGCATGTCTGTATGAGCGCTGCTCTTCACCTGGTTCCTGGATGTCATCGACCGCAAAGATGTCATTCCACGCAGCACGAGCTAGACGCAGAACTCCCTCATCCAGGATATAGAAGTCCATGTGTGGTAGATTACTAATGCAGCGGTCTGGAGGCTGACCACAGCAGAGTCTCTCAATATCTGTAGGCATGTCTCTACAGTTTGAACACACACACCAGTGCATGCTGTCTGAATACACACTCAAAAGACACCGGCTGACTGTTTGACTTTTGCGACAGTGCTGAGTTGCTTGTGGCCACTAGGGGCGCTAAACGTGAAAGTTGCAGGTCTAGCGCCCCTAGTGGCCAAGAGTTACACGGTGTGCCTTTAAATGGGCTGTGACTGAAAAATTTAAAGACTTCCTCATAGGAGCTGAATTCACCATATACACAGACAATAACCCACTGGCCCACCTGCAGACGGCACACCTAGGAGCAGTGGAGCAACGCTGGGTGGCCCAACTCGCCCCATTCAACTACACGGTCAAATATCGGTCAGGTAAAAGCAATATCAACGCTGACGTTCTGTCTAGGTTTCCTGCTCCTGTTAAACAGGCCATACCACCCGTCGATGAGCTGGTGGATGCAGCTGCAGTGGAGGTGACGTCTGCGATTGAGTGGGGAGAGGCCCAGGCATCCGATCCCGATATCCAGGCAGTCAAAACGTTTGTGATGGAGGACCGCTTTCCAGGCCGTCTGGACCGCCGGGCATTGACTTCACGGGCCCAGAAGTTACTGCAACAGTGGCAGAGGCTGACGGTGAGAGATGAACTATTGTGCCGGACTGTGCTTGACAGACACACCCATGAGGAGCACCACCAGATCGTGTGCCCAAGCTCTTTGTGTGCAGAGGTGTGGAAGATGATTCATGAGGCTGGAGCCCATTTTGGACCAGACAAGACTCTCGCCCGCATCAGGCAGCAGTTTTTCTGGCCAGGCATGGAGGGGGAGGTACGATTGTTTCATGAGGGCTGTCTTGCGTGCGGACTTCAAAAGAGCCGCGTTGAACCACGCGCTGCATTACACCCCATTTCTACTGCATTCCCCCTTGAAGTAATCGCATTAGACTTTTTGACTTTGGGTCGCCCCGCAGACACATACCAGAACATTTTAGTTGCCACAGATTTGTTTACCCGTTTTGCATGGGCCATCCCCACAACTGATCAGTCGGCTCAAACCACAGTAAGAATGCTGTGGAAGGACATAATTCAACAATTTGGCTGTCCACTGAGATTCCACTCTGATCGTGGTCCAAATTTTGAGTCGGCGCTGATGCAACAGCTGTGCACCTTGTATGGCATAAATAAAAGCCGCACCACATCTTATCATCCTGCAGGCAATGGTGGTGTTGAGAGGTTTAATCAAACCTTGTTGCACATGCTCCGTTCCCTGCAGGAGGAAAGGCAAAACCGTTGGCAGGACTACCTACCTGAATTAGTCCATGCGTACAACAACACTGTACATAGCGCTACAGGTTATGCCCCTTCGTTTTTGATGTTTGGGCGGCATCTACGGCTCCCTGTAGACGTAGTTTTGGGCCCGCAGCCCCAACAGTCGCGGTTCGATCTGGCCGGGTGGGTGGGAGAGCACCATAGAAAGCTCTCTGTGGCGTACAACGTCGCTAAGCAGAAAGCAGACAGTGCAACTTCCCAGCAGAAACGACAGTTTGATAAACGTGCTAACGCTGCGCCTCTCTTACCTGGCGAGCGAGTCTGGTTGCGGAATAGACGAAGAGAAGGCAGGGGTAAACTGAGCACTTGGTGGCATCCTCAACCACATGTTATTTTGAACACTGTCGGAGATACTGGGGTCGTGTACACGGTGCGCCCTGAAAAGGGTGGGCGCGAACAGACTGTGCACAGGAATGCCCTGAAAGTTTGTACATTGCCCCCTGATGAACCTGTGTCACTGCCCAACCCAGTACCCATAGAGAGACATGAACTGCCAGTTGTCTACGGATTCTTTCCTGCTGGACCAGAACCACCGTTGGAGGAGCCCCAAGTTTTACCCCGCCGCTCCATCCGGCCGAACATTGGACAACTCCCTACGCGGTACAATGACTAAGTGACAATGGGACGTCCCCAGGGACTGGTAACGTAAAAGTGTGGGGGGGTGTAAGCCGGCATTGTGCGGGTTTTATTTTACTTTTGTATTGCTGTGTGTTTGTTGTGCTTTTAATGAACCGCATGCCGTAGCCACTCCTACCACCTTACTGTCACCAGCCAACTGGACGCCCCTGACAATCACCACACCTGCCTAAATGGGCAGACAGGCTCTTAAAACGAGAAGAGAGCAGCAACAAGAGGAAAACAAACGGAGACTAACGGGAGACTAACGGAGACTAACAAAGACGGGCAGAGACGGGCACGGACGAACGGGACGAGCACGGAGACGAGAGCAGGCCGCGGAGGAAGACCACGAGCGGGACCCGTCGAGTGCCAAAGAGGCGAACCGTGAAGCGACCTACACGCAGCGGCGGGGCTCATACCCCGCCTACGCAGTCTACGGCCCTGGGATCCGCGGCGGCAGCTGGAGGGCTGCAATCCGGATAAAGAGCGAGGACGCAGAGTCACTGGGACGTACCGCGAAGCGACCTACACGCAGCGGCGGGGCTCATACCCCGCCTGCGCCGTAAGTAGCGGTTCAAGACACGTTTTACACTCCAGCCTTTGGCCCATATATGTGCTGTGCTCTGCCGGTGTGCTGTCTCCCCCTAGAAGCGGTGTGCGCCATTCACATTGGGGACGAGCGCCGTCTACCTGCCTCTGGCCCACGTTAGCCTCAGCCATTGGGGCACAATTCCCCCGGAGCCCCCACATCCGAGGTTTCTGGGTTTTAACGAAGGACTTTTATAACTTTTATCCTTGTCTTTTTATTTAATAAATACTGTATTTGTAAAGAGTTTTTGTCTCTTTGGAAACACCACCATCGCTCTCATCTGCCATAATCAGACAATTCGTCCCCTTTTCACTTCTACAAACTTCATCCTCTGCAATTAAAACCCCCCAACCATTACATATGTGTGTATGTATATGTATGAGTGTCTGTGTGTCTATGTGTGTGCTTGTGCTTGTGCATGTATATGAGTGTGTGTGTATATGTATGTGTGTGTGTGTATATGGGTGCGTGTATGAGTGTGTGTGTGTATATGTCTGTGTGTGTGTATATAGGTGCGTGTATGAGTGTCTGTGTACAGTATATGTCTGTGCTTGTGCATGTGTGCACACGTGAGTGTCTGTGCATACAGTATGCGTATATGTGTGTGTATACATGTGTGTGCGTGTATGACTGTTGTCTGCATATACTGTATGTGTGTCTGTGTATATGTGTGCTTGTGCATGCGTGTATATTTGTGTGAATCTGTGAGTGTCTGTGCATACAGTACGTGTGTGTGTGCGTGTGTATATGTGTGCGTGTGGAATGGGGAGCTTTGTGTGTGTGCGTGTGTATCTGTATATGTGTGTGTGTGTATATGTGCGTGTGCAGCGTGCGTGTATGTGTGCGTCTGTACGTGTGTGTGTGTGCGTCCGTGGAGTGTGGGGAGGGTTTTGTGTGCAAAGATGAGAAACGGGAGCAGAAAGGATAAACCAATAGAATGAGCGAATGACAGTGTTTGAAAAGTAATAGAGTATTATCTGTGGGAGCAGCTGGAGGCACTCGCGGCGCCTTCAGAGCGGCTCTTCTCTTTGTGAAACCAAAACTCTAAAGTCGTCACGCGCCAACGACATCTACCCGAGCCGTAATACTCCGACATGTGACAGCGGCGTCGAGAATAACGGCTTTCTAATAAACGCCTCAATTATCGCCGTATTCAGGGAAAGTCTTCACTCTCGCTGAGGGTCACGGGTCCTGGTCGAGAGGAACACCTGGAGAGAGATCTCGAGATGACACAATTACATCACAGACGAGGGGTGTGACATCACCATAGTGTTAGCATAAACGTAGAAGAAGAAAAAGATTTGAGCCTAAGCTAGCTGGAGCCAATTTACTTACATGCTTCATAACATAACAAGGGCAGATGTGTTGCTATGATGGTTGCTAAGGAAGGCAAATGAAGGCCTCTGATTGGTCAATAGTGGATTGTTATATCTGGGTTTACAAAGAAAATATCACGCTAAAACCACCTGGATAAAAGAGAGTGCTACCCTAATGGATCTATAATAATAACTGGATAGGGTATTACTAGCTTATAGCACAGGGGGCGCCCATGGTACTGCAGACTAAATTCACACGGGCTAAAGAGAAGTCCCATAGAACTCAATGTAAATTATTAAAACAGCTCGACCTCAGCTGACAGAGAACCTACAGCTTTCAGAAAGATAGGATTTTGTGGGGATTTTAGTGTCCCTTGTCATCCTGAACTTTTTCTTCTTAAATCCTTCTGTTTTCTTTAAATCTTAACTGCCACAAGCTTGTTTTCTTCCCGCTCTGACTCTGCTCTACCACTATGTCACGTATTTGGCGCAACGCATCACGGGAGATAATCCACTGCGCAGAACCGGGACCAGACGATGCCCAAATATAGCCGAGTTCCTCCGATATGTCAGCGCCCGTGATGTCCCGTGCGCCACTGAGCACAAGCCATTCATTGGAATAAGGCGCCATCTTGGATCATCGGGGCTTGGCTAAACCACAGTTTGAAGGACAAAAATGGAGAAACAAACAGTTACCGAGCTAGAGGGGTTCACTTTTACATGTAAGTCAACGGGAGCGAGTCCAGTATTAGTCCTGCATGAGTCCTGTCCCAGTCCTGTATGAGCACTTCCCACTGGGCTTCATTGAGTTAGCGGTTTAGCATTGTCCATTTATATGCAGTCTATGGGTAATTCTTGGAAACTACTCAATAGAATTTTTTAACAAAACAGATGGATTTCAATATATAAGACACAAAAATTCAGACTGAATTTTAGGAGATTTTTTTTCATATTTTCAATCAATTTGGTGGCACCCTGTCTGGATATTGCGATACATATCCAAGCCTTTGATGTTTTCTGTATTGTATTTGTATGTCCTTCTATGGACAAGTGTTGAATAAGTAATGTCACTGTCATAAGATAAGATAAGATAAGATAAACTTTATTGATCTCACACTGGAGAAATGTACATGTCACATTTGGCATGGATAGAATCACTCAGATTTTGCAAAAAGACAGAAGTGTGCAAACATGTTAATGGTTAAAAAAATTGTCTGTGCAGGATTATGTAGAATAAAAATGTGGCAATAGCAGCGCTGGTTCTTCAGTCAGGACTTCATTTGTATTCATAAAGTTCTCGGCCGCTTAAACCACAACAAACATTGAAGAAGCCGTTAAAGCCGAGTGCAGTGGGCGACGGTTTGATGGAACAGTTGCATCTGCAGACCCCAACCTTGACCCCGCGTCGCCCTGGACTCCCAACACGCCGCCTCGCCGCCGCTCAGATGAATATTAGTGAGTGCATTCATGGCGGGACAGTTATGGTTGGACGAGGCGGCGCACAGATGCTCCCAGGTAATGTCCCTCTCACAGCCTGGGCAGGAGCCAAGCCCAGCAGCTGTCCTTCCAACAACAGCCGATAAACTCTCCGCTCGTCCGCAATCATAAACCATCATCGGCAATCATAAAGTCGGGGACCGCGGCCAATGTGACCGCAGCCGCCGCGGCCAGAGCACCGTGTGCAAGGTCAATGTGAGGGCCGTAAAAAAAGACCGGGGAGTCCAACAGGATCATAAGTCCAAAAGGTCTTGAGTAGGATTGAATGGTGTGGGAAATGTAGCAGAGAAGCTGTAAACCAGGTCTGAGACAGGTCCCAGTCCTGCTCCAGTCCTGTATTAGTCCTGCCCCAGTCCTGTCCCAGTCCTGCTCCAGTCCTGCCCTAGTCCTGTATCAGTCCTGTATGAGTCCTGCTCCAGTCCTGCCCTAGTCCTGTATGAGTCCTGTATCAGTCCTGTATGAGTCCTGCTCCAGTCCTACCCTAGTCCCGCGCCCCAGTCTTGTCCCAGTCCTGTATCAGTCCTGTATGAGTCCTGCTCCAGTCCTACCCTAGTCCTGTATGAGTCCTGCCCCAGTCTTGTCCCAGTCCTGTCCCAGTCCTACCCCGGTCCTATATGAGTCCTGTCCCAGTCCTGTATTAGTATTGCATCAGCCCTGTCCCAGTCCCACCCCTGTCCTTCCCCAGTCCTGTATCAGCTCTGCCAGTGTCCCAGTCCTGTATCAGTACGGTCCCAGTCCTGTCCCAGTCCTGTATCAGTCCAGTCCCAGTCCTATCCCAGTCCAGTCCCAGTCCAGTCCCAGTCCTGTCCCAGTCCTGTATGAGTCCTGTATGAGTCCTGGACCAATCCCACCAGTGCCCCAGTCATGTTGGATTTTGTTTGGACGTCCCTTATAAATACAGAATTATGGAACAACACAGACAGCAGCCTTCTCTGCCATTTCACTAATTCTTTCCTGGCGTCGACCTGGCCCCGAGCAGCTGCCCCGAGTGCACGAGGCGGTGGTGGCGTTGGCGGTGGCGGTGGGCTGGGTCTCCTCTCCCCTCTGAGCTCAGCACGCCACAAAATGCGGAATTGGTGCGGAAAATCTGTGAACTTTTTTCTCTTTGATTTGAATCCCAGAGACGTGATGGCCTCAGTCATATGTTAGTCTTGGGACTCGGGAGAGAAGGACGTCAGCCTCTCTTCAAATTATACAAGAAAATTCCTGAGATCAGATGGAAGATTATCACAGATCAAGAAGCAACTGATGTAACTGGTGTCTGTGTACTGGCCCTACTGCAAAAAACGAATACAATAAAAATGAATAAAAACAACAAAAAGCCATACAATCTCTTAATAATCTATGGTTGAGTGAGAGAACCTGGTTTTTAAATTGAAAAACTTGAAATTTAGTTTGCGAGAATCATAGACAACAGCCAGATCTGAGCCTACTTACATGATTTTCTATTTTGATTATGACAATGTGTAACTTGACACATTTCTTGTTTTGTGTTTCTCTGGACTGACCTAGTGTGACATCTTCTTAAGATAGCTGGAGCCACCTTTAGATAGCTGGAGCCACCTTAAGATAGCTGGAGCCACCTTAAGATAACTGGAGCCACCTTAAGATAATTGGAGCCACCTTTAGTTAGCCGGAGCCAATTTGAGTAACAGCTTGAGTGTTGCTAAGACGGTTGCTAAGGCAAGCCGGAGATTCCCCCATGCATGAAGACATCTGATTGGTCATTGCTTATATCTGGTTTTACAAAGACAATATCACAATATAAACATCAGGATCAAAGAGAGCGCTAAACCACAGATCTAAGTTAGCTCGCCAAAGGAATTTACTTTTACATGTAAGTCAATAGTAGCCAGAGCGAGTCGGGGCCAAACCATAAGCACTTCTTCATTGGGCTTCGTGAAGTTAGCAAGTTAGCATTTAGCTAGCCCAGTTAGCATTGTCCATCTGTATACAGTCTGTGTGCGACAGAGTACAAGGGGCCTAACGTGAAGCGACACATGAAGCTCTCCTCGTACATTATTCAGAACGTGACCGCGGGGACGCACCTTAATGCCATCCACCGCGACAGCCGCTGAAACCCTGCCCCAGATCGGGCTTCGTCCTCTGGGGTGCGGACAAATGGACCGGCCCCTGTCCCCATCGGCCCCCGTCCTCTCCATTATCCCGGGCCCCGTAATGAAGCAGAGTGCTGTAGGTGCAGTTGGTGTCCTCCAACGGGCTAATGCAAGTTTAATGACAGGCTGATGACACGTGCGCGAGGTGAAGGTGAGAGCGCGCACGTCGGGTCCTGACACCTCTGTTTGATAAACGCCACTCGTGTTTCACCCGCTGTGCCCTTAAATGTGTAGCTGCGCGTCAATTATTAACGCAAACGTCTGCCGCCGCTGGAAAAATGATGTGATGGCAACACATAGCGAGTTTTTGGACCAGGAAAAGAAACCTTAAAAAAAGGATAAAACACTATATATATATAAAAGTAAACAAGGCGTAAAAAACCCAGATTTAAACATTGTCAGAGTAGAGGCCTGTCTCACATTTTCAGGAAGACTGTTCCAGGTTTTAGCATGAATCTGAAACGCTGCCTCCTCTTTTTTAATTTTAAACCATAGACTCTCTCCCTTTTGATATTGTTTGTACCTGTTGTGTAACTGTTTGTCTTACTCTTTAGGGAGAGAGCCACTTTAGTGTCCAAAAGTTCCCAAGGACCAACAACATGGATTGACTATGAGATGCCTGTATTGGATCACAAGGATCGAGCGCTCTCTCTGGTCTCTCTCCCTGGTCTCTCTCTGGCCATCTTTCTGGTCTCTCTGTCTGTTTGGTCTCTCTCTCTCTCTCTCTCTCTCTCTCTGGTCTTTCTCTCTCTGGTCTCTGCACTGGTCTTTTTCTCTCTCTCTCTGGTCTCTCTCTGCTGGTCTCTCTCACTGGTCTCTCTCTCTCTCTGCTATCTCTCTCTGTGATCTCTCTCTAGTCTCTCTCTGCTCGCTCTCTTTCTCTAGTCTCTCTCTAGTCTCTCTCTCTGTGATCTCTCTCTAGTCTCTCTCTACTCTCTCTCTAGTCTCTCTCTCTAGTCTCTCTCTGCTCGCTCTCTTTCTCTAGTCTCTCTCTCTGTGCTCTCTCTCTAGTCTCTCTCTCTGTGCTCTCTCTCTAGTCTCTCTCTCTGTGATCTCTCTCTAGTCTCTCTCTCTGTGATCTCTCTCTAGTCTCTCTCTGCTCGCTCTCTTTCTCTAGTCTCTCTCTCTGTGATCTCTCTCTAGTCTCTCTCTGCTCGCTCTCTTTCTCTAGTCTCTCTCTAGTCTCTCTCTGCTCGCTCTCTCTCTCTAGTCCCTCTCTCTCTGTTTGTATCTGCCACGTCACCATTTGTCTATTGTCTCTCTCGTTGTCTCACTGTGTGTTTGTGTTTGTGTCTGTGCTAATTCTCGCAGTTATGCTGAAGCCGTTTGCGACACATCGATTATCATACACCGTACTAATTCAAACAAATAAATAGACTAAACAAACCACTCAGCCTCCGTATACCGCAGAGACACATTTGTTTAATCATTAGTCCTGAAGAAACATGGATATACTTTAAGTCTCCAGAGAATAGAGGGTATGCAATATATGAAAATAAATGACAAAGAAGACGCATGAGTTTTAGAGTAAATATTTCTGCTTGTGTACACTCTCTCTGCCAGTTACTTCATGATCTCGTACTCCCCCCGTGCACATACTTTTGGATTTCTCAACCAGCCGTCAATACAATCAGGACGACTTATGAGGTGGGCTGGCCAAATCCCCCGCTCGGACATGTTTCCTCGGACAAACTCCCACCGCTCGCAGCCGCTAAGTGCATATTTGCTCATTGAACGCCAGTGTCTTCCTGTAATGGTCTCCGGATGCCCCCGAACGCATTCATTTCAGACAAAAGCCCCTTCATACGGGCACAGGGGGGCGAGGGAGGCGGGGGTAGACCTGACGTTCACAACAACACTTTACCACAAATCTGATTAATGTTTAAACCAATTACAACTTCCCCCAATTAGAAGCCATTACCAGGTTAAGAGCTGCTATTTATCTTGCTGATTTGGCCGCTTCATGAAGTATGTGCGGTAGGTTTTTGCGGCACGCACATTGATGAAAATCTCTGGTCTCTTTCTCTGCTCTCCATCTGGTATCTCTCTGTTCTCTCTCTGGTCTCTCTCTCTCTGCTTGGTCTCTATCTAGTCCCTCTATCTAGTCTCTCTCTGTTCACTCTGGTGTCTCTGCTCTCTATCTGGTCTCTCTCTGGTCTCTTGTTGGTTTCTTTCTGGCCTCTTTCTGGTCTCACTTTGGTCCCGTCTCTGGTCTCTCTCTGTCTCTCTCTGGCAAGTCTCTGGTCTGTCTCCCTGGGACCTCTGGGCCCTCTCTGGTCTCTCTTTGTCCTCTCCCTGTCTCTCTCTGTTCTCTCTCTGTCCTCTCTCGTCTCTCTCTGGTCTCTGGTCTCTCTCTGGTCTCTCTCTGGTCTCTCTCTGGTCTCTCTGGTCTCTCTCTGGTCTCTCTTTGGTCTCTCTCTGGTCTCTCTCTACTCTCTCTCTGGTCTCTCTCTGGTCTCTCTCTGGTCTCTCTCTGGTCTCTGGTCTCTCTGGATCTCTCTCTGGTCTCTCTCTCTGGTCTCTCTCTATGGTCTCTCTCTGGTCTCTCTCTGGTCTCTCTGGTCTCTCTCTCTCTGGGTCTCTCTCTGGTCTCTCTCTGGTCTCTCTCTGGTCTCTCTCTGGTCTCTCTCTGGTCTCTCTCTGGTCTCTCTCTCTGGTCTCTCTCTGGTCTCTCTGGTCTCTCTCTGGTCTCTCTCTCTGGTCTCTCTCTGGTCTCTCTCTGGTCTCTCTCTGGTCTCTCTTTGCTCTGGTCTCTCTCTGGTCTCCCTTTGATCTCTCACTGGTCTCTCTCTACTCTATCTCTGGTCTCTCTCTGGTCTCCCTCTGGCCTCTCTCTGGTCTCTCTCTGGTCTATCTCTGTCTCTCTGGTCTCTTTCTGGTCTATCTCTGATCTCTCACTGTGCTCTTTCCGATCTCTCACTGGTCTCTCTCTGCACTATCTCTGGTCTCTCTCTGGTCTCTCTCTGGTCCCTCTATAGTCTCTCTTTGGCCTCTCTCTGGCCTCTCTCTGGTCTCTCTCTGGTCTCTCTCTGGTCTCTCTCTGGTCCCTCTATAGTCTCTCTTTGGCCTCTCTCTGGCCTCTCTCTGGTCTCTCTCCGGTCTCTCTCTGGTCTCTCTCTGGTCTCTCTCTGGTCTCTCTCTGGTCTCTCTCTGGTCTCTCTCTGTCCTCTTTCCGGTCTCTCTCTGGTCTTTAACCAAATACAACTTCCCCCAATTAGAACCCATTACCAGGTTAAAAGCTTCTATTTGTCTTCCTGATTTGCCCGCTTTGTGAAGTATGCGCGGTGGGTTTTGCAACACACGTATCGATCGCGTCGGAAAAGAGAAGGTCGGCGGAACACCCGAGAAGCGAACTCGGCGAGCTCGAGAGTGACGCGGCAATTTAAGTTAGTAATAAGAAATGAGGAGGTGGCCATCTTCCCGGAGCGTCGTAATTACCGCCATGTCGAATGAAGGCATTACACCAAAGCAAGACAAGCATTCATAGAGCTGTAATCCAATCAAACACAGCTTACGGGGGGAGAGAGGCGCAGCGAGGCGGAGAAGGGGCACGGGGGCCATCTCCACGGGCCACTTAGAGGCGATGGTGCAGAGGTCAGGGTCGTAACTAACACGTTTCAATGCAATCGTATTACAGCTTTATTCACCAAAAGTCTCATTTTGAGTTGATGGCTTCCAGCGTGTTGGATATTAAGTCTGTTAAAGATCAGAAGGTCTTGTTGTTGTAGGTCGCCCGAAGGTTTCTCACTTTTTGTTTTTGACTTGTTCCTTGCCGAGGGTCTGAGGACGGCGATGATCCGGGACATTTCTGCATATTTATTAGTATTTCTGGACAAGAGGGCGTCCCGCTCCCTCTGCACCAATGGCGTCTATGTGTTTGTTATTATCGCATTTCCTGTGTTCAAGCTGTTTGATTCTCTGATCTGTTGTCTGGGAATCCTCATGTATCTCTCTGGTCTCTCTCTCTCTCTCTCTCTCTCTCTCTCTCTGGTCTCTCTCTCTCTCTCTGTCTCTCTCTCTCTCTCTCTCTCTCTCTCTCTCTCTCTCTCTCTCTCTCTCTCTCTCTCTCTCTCTCTCTCTCTCTCTCTCTCTCTCTCTCTCTCTCTCTCTCTCTCTCTCTCTCTCTGGTCTCTCTCTCTCTTCTCTCTCACTGGTCTCTCTCTCTCTCTCTCTCTTTCTCTGGTCTCTCTCTCTCTCTCTCGGGTCTTTCTCTGGTCTCTCTCTCTCTATAGTCTCTCTCTCTCTCTCTCATTTCTCATTCTAATCTCTATTTCTGGTATCTCTCTCTCTCTCTCTCCCTCTGGTCTTTCTCTCTGGTATCTCTTTCCCTCTATGGTTTCTTTCTCATTTCTCTTTCTGATCTCTATCTCTGGTCTCTCTCTCTCTCTCCCTCTGGTCTTTCTCTGGTCTCTCTCTCTCTCTCTATAGTCTCTCTCTCTCCCTCTCTTCTCTCTGGTCTATCTCTGATTTCTCTCTCTCTGGTCTCTCTTTCCCTCAATGGTTTCTTTCCTGTTTCTCTTTCTTATCTCTCTCTCTCTATGGTCTCTCGCTCTGCTCTCTCTCTGCTCTCTCTCTCTCTCACCAGCCTCTCTCTGGGCTCCCTGTGGTCTTTCTTTCCCTGTATGGTCTCTTTCTCGTTTCTCTCTCTGGTGTCTCTGCTCTGTCAGAGTGTGTGATCTGTTGTCGGGGAATCCACAACTTTGTAAAGTCCTCCGAGACGACTGCTGTTGCGGTTTATGACGATACACAAATGACATTGAACAAGAACTTTAAAAATGGGGCCTCCCGAAAGTACTAACACACTTTGAAGTTTTGTACAATGTGTAATGTGTAAACAAAAACCGAATGATTTTACTGAAATTTCACACTGAAGACTGAGAAGTGAAAGAAACGACAAATAATTATGTCATGAAACGTGTGTGCATAGGTATTCATACATATGTTTGTGAGTGTATTTAAGCCTTTAATAATTTTTTTTTTAGGCTGAATGTGTGTATGACCTGTTCTCAGTATAAAGCTAGTCACTATTCAATTCAATTCAATTCATTTTGGTTTTGGTCCCAACAGCAGACGACAAAGTTGAGGATTTACCGACAACAGATAAGAGAATCAAACAGGAATCAATACCAACAATACCAGGAATATCAACAAACACGATCTCTACCGGTAAAAAAATTAAGGAAAGAAAAGTTGAGACGGAATTTAAAGTCCTGTAGTGAGAGGGAGATTCTGATTGGTTGTGAGAGTGAGTCAGGTTGAGTCTGCGAGGTCTTCCCCTTGGTCTAAAGCTGGACACAGAGAGACAATCCTGTAGAAAAATTCATGGATCCCGAGGGTTATAAAATGAAAAAGGTCAAGTGGAAGACCCAAAACAATAGCCCCAGAGCTGAGTCAAAACACAAGACGATCCTCAATTCAAATCAAGTCTGCGACTTGTCCCGGCTGCATCCCAATAACCATAAAGAAGCCTAATCTTCTGGAGCAGCACTAAATCGCCCATTTGGACTTTGCAAAAGATCTACAAACACGGGGGACGTTGAAAGGTGAAAGAAAGTTTTGTTTTCTTGATGAGAAAGTGTGTTACCGACACAGTCCCGATTGCTCACACACATAGGAGCCGTCAATTGGTCCATAGGGAGTGGGATGAGCACTGTATATGAAGAGATGTCCCAGATCATCACTGTCCTTAGACCTTTCTGTATCGACAAGAACCACTCAAAAATATAAAAGTTAGATACCATGGCTTTAACGCTAAGTCCGTTTTTATGTGGACCTCATTCCTAACCTTCACCAATGACCTGTAACTCCATTCTGACTCACTCCAACTCCAACAACTCCTTTGTTCAGAGGTCTCAGCCGGGCCTCTGCTGACCTCCTCGCAGTTGGTGCCACAACAGTCTGTAAACACCATGGAACCATCAGACAGAACCATCAGACCGTCTCTCATCCATCACCGACGCAGCATCCGCCGCTCGTCTCATCCAACCAGCGGGGCTCGAATGTCAAAGGTCGCACGGTGGTCACCCTGGGTCTTTGTACTCCAACGCCATCTACCTGCGTGCGCCCCTGCCCCGAGCCGTGGGGGAGGTGTGGCTAAGCCGTCGTCACCCGCAGCTTGTGGAGTGCTGATGATAATGGCCTCGTGCGGGAGTCCAGACCAACATCGGTTATTTCGGGCTTAATTTCGTCCATTAACGTTTCATTAAATGGTGCCACCGCGCTCCACCGGCTGCCCGCGGCTGATGGATGCACTGCGGGCGATGGGAGCCGAGGTACGGGCTGACGAGCGCTTATGTGTGTGTGTGTGTGTGTGTGTGTTCTTGGAAAAGGCCAGACTATATCACACTGATTTGACAAAACTGCATACTCACGAAACTGACTGTTTGTAGCCATTAATAAGGTCAGAAAAGTCTTGGGATGGTCAGTTCAATGGGATGCTAATATGCTAATGCTAATGCTAATAATTAGTATCAAAGTCAATCCGGGATTTTTTTTTTTTTTGTTGGATCCAGTTATTACCATCCACAATCCCATCCCGAACCAACCAACAAACTAGTTATGAATTTCTCTCAGCATTTCTACTCACAGAAAGCAATGGGCGTTAGGGTGTTTGGTCAGAGAGTGTTTTTGTGGCATATGAACCAACTGAGACTCTGAAGAGCACAGGGACTGGCCTCCTGCTGGTGCCCAGAGTCAGGACTGAACATGGGGAGGCAACGTTTCACACCTGCTGCTAAAAATCTGGCGCAGACTCCCTGAAAATGCGAGTCAAGCTTCTTCCAAGTTAAAAACAGTTCAGAAGGATTGTGTCACTCTTTTAAATCTGCTGTTATTATGTATTTATTTGTTATTTGCATGCCCTGGTTGATTGATTCTGTCCCCTCCAGATCACCGGATCAACAGTGGTAGGATCCCCATTAAATAAACAGCATTTCTAACTTGTCAAAGGCACCAGCACCAGACATGAGATGCTTCCAGCCACACCTGCCATTCTCTGCACACACACACACACGCGCACACACACACACACACACACACAAACACACACACAACCACCGCTAGTATGCAAATCTTGTATCACTCCGGCGGCTGAGGTACGCGCTGGTAATGAACAGGCAGCCTCCAACAAGTCCAACACAATATTCTAATTAGACTTGTATGTTTATTTAATGCGTCCTGGGCAAATTAGTTGTATAAAATTAGGACTAATTAAGAGTAACAGTAATGATGGCGAGCGGTGGCAGCCTCCACACAGACAGGCATAGGTAATCACATATCTGTGTCACTCATTAGGGTTTTGATCATCTCAACATGACATATGATAATCCGTGGTTCATTTACATGCTCAGGCTGCTGCATCTTTTACATTGATTTGGAAGAAGGAGTTCATCATATTTGGAATACATATTTATCCACCGGAGCACAGATGCGGGCGTCAAAACTGTCTGCATTAAATTACTCCATTTTTTAAAAGAAATGCAGATTTTGGGCACTGGGTGTTTTTTTTTTTGGATGGAGGTTTTGACTTTTGGGGCTAGCGGCACGGCTGTTTTTGACACGGCGCGTTGACAGCTGTGGAAAATCAGATACAGAAAAAGAAATTGGTAAATGTTAATATTAAAATATGAGCTGGAGAAACGGGGAGATTGAGAAATGGTTGCGTGGAAATGTTTTTGAGTTGATCGCTGGATGCAAAGAGCTGCCAGATGTTCAAGGCTGCAAATCTAAAATCTAAATGCTCTCGTGTTGTTTCTTGAACGCAAACTGGTGAATTATTGGAGATTATCTCTGTAAATCTTTGAGCAAAATCCCTTTCCTCAAGTTATTTTAAAAAAGAAACTCACAAAAGTCGCTGGTGCTATGGCCTCGCACATTTCTGTCAGTGTTAGGACCAAAACAGCACCGAGAAGTGACTTGTGAAGAGAATTAACAAAACTCAAAATTCAAAGTATCACCATAAAATCACAACAGCAGGCAAAGTTGTGGATTTGCCAAACAACATGTCAATTCAATTCACTGTATTTGTGTATGGCCCTAAATCACTGCAGTAGTTGACTCGGAGGACCTAACAAAACCGTTGAAATCGCCAACAACATCAGAGAATCAGTTCAAACACAAACAATAGAGAAACCATTGGTGTTGGTCCACATGGGGAGTTGACCAATGTCCAAGAATGTTGAGGATCAAATAAGAAAATGGGATAACAACAAACAAAAACCCTTTCCCACAAAACTCTGAAACCTCTGAAAGTAAGTAATTATTTATATAGCGCATTTTATAGACCAAGGTCACCCAAAGCGCTTTACAATGTTCAGAGTTGAGATATTGTTCCAATTATTCCACACTTTGAAGCGAGTCACCGAACACACTGGACCATCAGCCTCCAATCAACACCATCCATTCACTCTCTCATCTACATTCAGACCTATGGTGCATGATTTTAGTGGTAGGGGAAACCGGAGCACCTGGAGGAAACCGGAGCACCTGGAGGAAACCGGAGCACCTGGAGGAAACCTACGCAGACACAGGGAGAACATGCAAACTCTACTCAGAAAGGCCCTGTTCCGACCGGGATTTGATTATTAATATCAAGTAGCATGAGACAAGTGTTCATTGTTTTTGTGTGTGTATTTTGATTGTTGATGTTATCTGTGCAGCACTTTGGTAAGCCTTGCCTGTTTTAAATGTGCTATACAAATAAAGATGAATTGTGTATCCGACAGAGGAATGCCACCGGGTTCTGATGTGATCCCGATGGAAGCCACGTGCCTCGTCATGTGGAACCACCTCAAAGACCTCGTCTCAAACCTGGAAAGTTTGAAATGTTTACTCTTTTTGACGGAGTCGGATTTCCTGCCTCACGATGACCTCAGCCGCGGCGGTGAGCAGGAAGCCTTCATCTCCGTCCGATTATTATTCCAATCATTACCACCGTCCCGCGGCGGCCAAAAAGCAGTCCGTCAGCGGCGAGCAGGCTTCCAGGAGAAACAGAGAAAGGTAAGAGCGCCGTCATCGTCCGCTCACGAGGCTTCGATGGGTTTCAGATGGAGCGAACTTGGCCTTTGTTCTTCCAGGTGGTCAGGCCTTGGGAATAACACCCGGCAAGCAGCGATGCAAGCTAGCTCAGCTCCTACTCTGCTAAATCTACCTTTTTCAGCCTTTTAACAGCGCTACAACATTGTCTCCTTATCGACAACAGACCTGGGGAGGTTTCGCGATCCATCCACGTGGAAAACTACCGGAAAAAACATGTGCATGGCCCCGCCCCTTCTGCTTGAAAGCTCCTGTCTCAGTCCAGTGTTAGCATGATGTCATTGAACCACTATGACATCACACTCAGAGTTTGTGTTTGCTGATTTACCACAGCGACGGTTGAACTGAAGAGATACAGGTGTAATGTGCGTGTATGGGCAGAGCTGGAGATGGCTGGATGACTCAAAGACTGCTGAGGGTTAGCGGCAGAGGGCCACGATTGAACACGCTATGGTCAAAACAATAAAATAGAAATGATAATATTAAAAAAACAATATACATAAAAACATAAGATAAAATTGAAACACACCGGACTTTTTTTTTGCATAATTATTTAAATTTCTGGACAATGGTCTTCCCACTCTGTATGAACCAATGAACACCTCCTTCGTGTTGGTTATTATTTCAATTGCTGATTCTCTAATCTGTTGATGGTGAATCGACAACTTTGTAAAGTCCTTTGAGACGACTGTTGTTGTGTTTTAGGGCGGGTACACAAATACTTTGAATTGAATTAAATTAAAAGAAGCTAAAACAAACTGAATCTCGGCTTATGGTATACAGGAGGGTTTTCTGCTTCTGGGTGGATCATCAAGACTATTGGTCCTCCCAAATGTCAATCATTTTGGTGATTCGAGCTCGTCAAATAAGACAAGAGAGTTTTGTTCAAATTGTATGGAGTACTTTTCTAAAATGTGGGAAAATCCTCCTTTATATCTTTAACTATGTGTTGGTAAATTGTATAATTGGTTTTCATTGGATTGATAGGTGGAGATTTATGGTGTGTTTGGATGAAAGGAGGTCACATGGGTTTTACCGCGATCACAAGTTGCCGATCCAGGACTGAGGCTGTAGGTCCAGGACTGAGGCTTAGGATCCAGGACTGAGGCTGTAGATCCAGGACTGAGGCTTAAGATCCAGGACTGAGGCTGTAGATCCAGGACTTTAAAGAGGGCCCTACTTTTCTAAAATTTGGGAAAATCTTTAACTAGTGTTGGTAAATTGTATAATTGGTTCTCATTGTGTTAATTGTTATTGCAAATTAAATCAAATGTTAAGAATCTACTGCTCCAGAGGCACATAACCATTTAGCACTGCCAAAAAATCTAACCGCTCAAAATCTCTGGATTGATAAATATTTTTCTCTCCATATGTTTGCGGAAAGGGACCTGAGAGATTGTCTTTTTGAAGTGAATAGATGGAAAGCACATGTTTCTTCCCCCGCGGAGACACGGCAAAGGTGGAACACTTTACGGTCCTCTGCGCTTTGATGAAGTCGCCAAGTCTTTGATAAGATTTCAAACAGGAAATCATGAGCAAACCCAGGTGGTCCGGGCCGGCTCTGTTCTCAGTGTGTAGACAAGAGAGCTGCTTTCATACCGAAGGGGAATGAGAGATGACGTGTACGACAACTATCCCACTATCACCTCCGTTTTTACACAGACAACTTGCGTATTTGCACAAAATAAAAAGATTTAAATGCTACAAGGTTGGCTCTTGTTGGTTGGGTGTAGTATTGGTTTGGCCACAAGAGGGCGAAGTGGAGGCTACTATGTGTGAACCCACAGGTGGAGATGTATAGTGCGTTTGGATGAAGGGAGGTCACAAGGGTTTTACCACGATCACAAGTTGTATATCCAGGACTGAGGCTGTGGATCCAGGACTGAGGCTGTGGATCCAGGACTGAGGCTGTAGATCCAGGACTGAGGCTGTGGATCCAGGACTGAGGCTGTAGACCCAGGACTCAGGCTGTAGATCCAGGACTCAGGCTGTAGATCCAGGACTGAGGCTGTAGATCCAGGACTGAGGCTGTAGACCCAGGACTCAGGCTGTAGATCCAGGACTGAGGCTGTAGATCCAGGACTAAGGCTGTAGATCGAGGACTGAGGCTGTAGGTCCAGGACTGAGGCTGTAGACCCAGGACTGAAGCTGTAGATCCAGGACTAAGATAGACCCAAGACTGAGGCTGTCGATCTAGGGTCTAGTATTGGACCCGCCTCACTCAACAGAAGCGACAGAAGGTTACAATAACCAGTGCAATTTCCATGGCAGAACCTTTTATGCAGTATTAGCGCTATATGCATCTACTCTACTCTACTCTACTCTACTCTACTCTACTCTACTCTACTCTACCGGGTTACGATCGTATTACACTTTAGCTGTCAGAACTCTGACCAATCACTGTCAGTTAGAAAACTTTAGTACCAGTACCAGTAAGAGGGACTAAATAAGGACCAGCCAAAACACTTTGGGGTAGAGTAGAGTAGAGTAGAGCTGGTGGATGCGTGGCTTTGGAAACCGGTACACCACACTCTACAACAACAATAGCCTAAATATTGTCTTTTGTTTGAAAGCTGGTCAAGTGCTGGATTTTCTATCCTGAATTATGCAAAAACAACTCACAGTACCCCATATATACGCAAGCACCGCAACTATCCGGTCTTTCTCTGAGCTCCCAGCCTCGTGTTGTCTCAGAAGTATCAGAATCTCTTCACAAATGAGGTTAAGGAGAAACAGGCCTCCACATTATCCGAACCAGCGCGCCATAATCAGCCGCCTTCTTGGGCCGCTTCATTTCATCTCATAAGTTCGTTTGAAGCCCTTCTTCTGTTGTATTTTTAATGGCCGTGTTTTAAGGCCTGGAGTTTTCCCCACAGGGACAATACGCAAAGTCAAGAAGAGCGCAAAAATAGGTACTTAGCGAACGCTGGCTTACAATCTCTGATCGGTGGGACTCATTTACATAGAACTGGAACCATTTTTCTTTATTTTTTTCATCGACCTTGTCACAGTTAAACGTGTCTGTCACCGCGCATTAGCCGAGACGCGTCAGTGTAGAGAGAACGTGGAGTTTTTGACATGAAATATGGATGGGAACGTCTTCAAAGAAAGCTCTGAGAGTAAATTTGTTTGAGGGCAACACAAATGCTGGGAAAGTTAAATATTAATGTTGTAGAGAAAAAATAAGATGTTTTGTACCATCTGCGCATTATGTGATGTTCTAACAGCGGCAATTATTAGTGTTTGAGTTCGATGGAAGGAGCTGGGTCCATGAGGGAGAGGGTGAGGGAGATGGAAGGATGGACAGAGATATGGAGAGGAGGGAGACTGCTTTTCTGTCATTAAAAGCCTTGAGATGTGAGTGTAAACGTGGCAGCTGTTTCTGATGGGTTGGCTGCTAACTGTTTGATCCTCTGTACTGTTGTTAGCGAACCCGAAACTTTGTAAAGTCCTCCAAAACGACCAAAAATACATGCATGCGAGAGACCAGAGACGGACCATGGAATTATTATAGAGAGAGAAACCAGAGAGAGAGTTGAGACAGACCAAAGACAGAGAGGCCAGAGAGAAATCAGAAAGAGACCAGAAAGAGACAAGAGAGAGAGACCAGAGAGAGACCAGAAAGAGACCAGAGAGGGACCAGAGAGAGGCCACAGAGAGAGACCAGAGAGAGACTAGAGAGAGACCAGAGAGAAATCAGAAAGAGACCAGAGAGAGACCAGAGAGAGACTAGAGGCCAGCGAGAGATCAGAGATAAGAGAGAGAGACCAGAGGGAGCAATCAAAAAGAAACCAGAAAGAGACAAGAGAAAGACCAGAGGCCAGCGAGAGACTAGAAAGAGAGATCAGAGATAATAGAAAGGGACCAGAGAGAGACAGGAGGCCAGCGAGAGATTAGAGAGAGAGAAATCAGAGATAAGAGAGAGGGACCAGAGAAAGACCAGAGAGAGACCAGAGAGAGAGACCAGAGAGAGACCCGAGAGGGACCAGAGAGAGAGTTGAGACAGACCAAAGACAGAGAGGCCAGAGAGAGCGACCAGAGATAAATCAGAAAGAGACCAGAGAGAGACTAGAGGCCAGCGAGAGATTAGAGAGAGAGAGATCAGAGATAATAGAAAGAGACCAGAGAGGGACCAGAGAGACCAGAAAAACCTGATCAAGATATGTCAAAAGTGGACAAACTTTACCAAAAATTAGTGATAGAAGCAAACTGTTTTGAGAGCGAGGACTAGTTAGATAGATTTTATCCCAGCGTTAAAAATGTGTGTTTGAAAGTGAGGTACCCCAGCTTGAAACGCACACTTCTTTTTTCCGATCATTCCGACGCTGCTCTGTAGAAGAAGTTTTCGCGTTTTGATCGTGGCGGTGACGACCGGGCTTTCTCCTGGGTTCAGCTGGTGCCTTCTGACAGCTCCAAAGCCTCGGCACGTCTTCTGAAAGGCAGTTATCGCGGTTCAAGTTCCTAATGGTTCCGCCGGAGACAAGTGTAACTTATTTCATTGAGACGCGTGTCACATGCCGCCTCTGCTTTGAAGTGCTAAATTAACGAGAAGCGAGAACAGTAGCCATTCCGTCGACAATGACCTCTTTTCTAATGGCGGCAAGAGTCATCTGTCGGCCCCATCTAATTACGCGGATCCAGCCGTTTGAAAAGTGTCTTAAGGCTGTTTAGGAATAAAAGGGACATTTAAATGCAGAGAAAATTACAGATCTTTCAAAATACTTTCCGCGGACACATTCGTCGCCGCACATGGAGCAGCTTTTTTCTCTCCGTGTCGTTAATTCTTTGCTTTGAGAGGCCAGACGGCTCCATATCTGTCTATTCCCTCACTTTCTTTCTTTCCTTTCTCCTTTTCTTTTCGTCCTGTAACTATCGCAGTGGTAAACAGGATTCGGCTTCAACTTTGCCCGGGCCGCGGTGAAAAAGCGCATTGAGGCCAGACAATGCGCGTCTTGTTCCTGCCGGCGCTGACCCGATCGCCATCCGTCCCCCTTGCACGCCAAAATGACATTAGCGCGCTGATGGTGAGGACATCTATTTCTGTGTTCATTTCCATAATAAT